CTTTCAAGGCCAATGATTTTGGCAAGGTTTAGGGAGGGAACCAATTCCACCTGGGAGCTCCGAACATCTGTTTAGGGTTTAGGGGCATAGGGCTTCGTGGTTTAGGGTTTAGAGGTTTAGGGTCCCTAAACCCTAAACCCTAAAACGCTCTAGTATCCTGATTCCGACACCTTAGACATGCGCTTCGGGATTGCCTGACATTGGGTGTCGGGTCTTGGGAGATCAGGACGGAGAGCGAGTTGCGTGCTGCGATATGCTGCGATCTTAAGGGGCCTTAACCGTACGTACGCGGTCAGCCCTGGTAGTGTTGAATCGGCTTCCTTAGAATTAGAAGCCTTCTGACATCGTCTGAACTTCCTGCAGTGGGGGGGGGGGGGGGGGGGGGGGGGGAGGAGGGGGAAGATATACTTGTAGCAATGACATTGAAGAGATTTCTGTTGGAGGGTTCGGGTAGGCTTAGGCCAGGTGAAGGTTTACATGCCCATCTAGCTTGCAAGAGCTTGGGATCCCATTTGTTGGCCAGCCCTGCCCCACGACCTACAAAATGTAGACATTTTAAACCTGTATGGCAACGAACAATGAAATGCACAAAGCCCCGTGGGGGACTTGCGACCACAGTGTCGTCCAGGAGAAACTTGTTTTTCGAGTTATGCAGCCAGCTACTCAAGCATTTGGATGTTCAAGCAGTTACTTTACGATCATGCACACCAAATCGCTTTGACAAGTCGTGCCTGGGCCAACAGTCATCGAGCCGCCTTCCGCCAAAGAAGCGCCTATAACCCCAAACCCCAAAACTGTAGTTTAGTCCGTCCAGGCTATGCTCATGTATGGATCATACTTTATCATGATTCGGACGGCCTCACAGGAAGAGCCAGACAACGCTATCAACGCTTCAACCGCTCCTTCAACCTCCAACCCGAAACTTTGTGGGGGCACTTCTTGGACAAATGCCCGTGCAGAGCCTACGGTTACCTGCAAAGCTGCCACGAGCAAAACAATAGCATACGTCTACAGAAGGAGAGAGAGGGAAAGAGAGGGAAAGAGAGAGAGCAGAGCATTGGAAATATGCAATATATATATATATATATACATATATATATACACATATATATATATGTATCAAGATCACATTAGCAGCAAACATGAACGTTCCGTCGGTCATGCCCAACCAGTAGGATACGACCAGCAAACCAACCCAAGGCATTGCAATGGTACAACATGGCATACATATGGCGACCTTCATGTGCAGTTCAAGGTGGCAACAGAACCACTCAATCCTACGGTCCTAAAACTGCTAAACTCAACCTTCATGCCCTAAACCTGCTTGTGTTGTGGAACTTGAGGGCTGGATCCCAATTCATAGCTTCAAGACCATGGGCCTGGATCCCCATTCATAGCTTCAAGACCGTACGGGTCAAGGTGTGGCATGGTTCTGCAGACGCAAACTTTCCGTAAATCACCCAGACACATGGCGGCCTGGTACGCGGGGGCCTGGCGTGGTTCGATACCTTCGACGTTGATGCCGGTCACACGGCGCTTCGTGCTTTGTGCGGCTTCAAAGCATGCTAAGCACGTTGCTGGCTTGCATCGGCAGAGATCACAGATGGTCTTGAAAAACGATCGTGCACGGAAGGCTACACCACGGCACGTTACTGACCTCACAGCCCGAAGGCTGAGCGATGCCGAAAGCTACGCGTGCAAGCTTCGAGATTGTGCCTAGAGAGGGTGGGGAAGGTTTGAGTGTTCCGGGTTTAGGCCTTATAATCGCCATAATTAATAATAATCATAATCATATTCAGAATAATTATAACAACAATCATCATAGTAATCATAATAGCAATAATCATCATAGTGATAATAATACCAATAAAAATAGTAGTTATAATAATACTAGTAATAATCATAAGAATACTAATAATAAGTCATAATAATAAGGGTCAAGGGCTTGCGGTGGCTTCATCTCTGGGGTTGCCTCAGTACGCCGGCGCACTGCCTAAGGACTTGTGTTCGGATGATGAGTTCTGGCATGGCAGTGTAGAGTGTTCAGAATAATAAGAATAAGAATAACAATAATACTCCAAATTATGATTTTCATGATTATGATGATTATTATTACTATTATCATTATAGAAATAATGGGTAATAATCGCTGATGAGTAATGTGGCTATGGGTTTCGGCGCTGGAAAAAAAGACCAGCACCGGAGCGAAGCACAACTTAGGTCGATCTAGCAGTGTAAAGATCGTGCCACTTGAGAGTTTAGGGTTTAGGGTTTAGGGTTTAGAGCACCCAGGTACACTCGCTAGAAGCCCGGGCTTCATGCCTGGAATCTCCATAAGAAAAACACCCGAAACCCCAAAGCTCTCGAGTGCGTTCGCCCACCTTGGGGGCGGCGAGCCCTTGGCAACAGGCAGGTGTATTCCAGCGTAAACCCTAAACCCTAAACCGTAAACCCTAAACCCCTAAACCCTAAACCCTAAACCCTAAACCCCAAAACCCTAAACCCTAAAGCTTCCAACTTGAGATTCGAACTGGGAAACAGCCATATATGGGGGTCTCCCAAGTTAGGGCATCTTATGGGGGGTCCTTACTATAAGGGAATCCTACTATTCGGGGATCTATCTTGGGGGTCTTCCCTATTTTCGTACACCCCCCATATGAAGGGTCTTCAGTTCGAATGTCAGCGTCAGGCTCTCCGCAGGCTGTTGTGAGGATCCTCTTGGCTGCTCTTTGATGTTCAACAGACACGAACTTGAACTTCGGCAAATGGCATGCGGCTTCTACTGTAGAAGGCTCGGAACGGGTCTGTGAACATGGGTCGACTTTGCCCTGCGAACGCAACGATGAGCCTCCAACCAAGAAGCTCGAACCCTTGAATCTGGGACCAAAAAAAGTAGACGCTTCCGTCGCTTCCTCAAAGCAAATCCTCCACAATTCCACGCCTGTGGAGGCCGTGCGGCGCCGAGTCGGCTTTCAGAAGCCACGGCCGTGAGGGTACCCACCTCAGTTGCATCTTGTCGCTTCTGCTTATTATGTCTTTGCTGGATAGTTTTTGCTTTTTTAAAAAGTGCCGTGTACGTGTGGAGGTTGATTGTTTGATATAAGCTTCCGGGGCAGCTCTGTCAGTTCCTCTGCCAACGATGTGGAGTGACATGCTGCGGAGGAAATGCCTGTACAGCGACAAATTGGCAGGGAGTGCTCATGTGCAAGCGCGAGCTGTCAATAGATTTAAGGTTTTGGGGGCACACCAACATGGGATTTCCAGGACCATGGCTTGGCTCACTTTAGGGGTGCAAAGCTCGAGCGCCCTTGCCAAGATTGTGGCAGGGCGGGCTGCGCCGACCTTCATTGCAGGGCCCACTTGCTGCGTGGGCGGAGCCTCGTGCTTTGCGGAAGAGGGCTCGCAAGTTTGGCTGTCGACTTGGCTTTAAGAATTCTTAGGCCCTCTTAGCCCAGGCTCTACGATCTCTACAAGCTTTGCCCTGGGTGCTGGTAGCGCGAGTGCACGCTTTGAGTTCGGCTTTGAAATCCCCTTCCATACCTGCCCTTAACCCAAGCCAGAGCTGCAGGTTCAGGGGGCCAAGCCCTTTAAGGCCACAAAGCCACAGAAACCCCTGAAGCTGTTGCAAGCCCTGAAAGCCCCAAACCCCAAACCCTAAACCCCAAACCCCAAACCCCAAACCCCAAACCCCAAACCCTAAACCCTAAACCCTAAACCCATCCCCCGACACCAGGGTCATCCACCCAGGCCTCCCGGGCCTTCGTCCGGCAAGGGGCGGCCTCGCGGGCCGCTACCGCCTCAGCAAGAGCTCCCCGCAAGGTTGCTGCCGGGTTTGGGGTCTGGGGTCTGGGGTTTGGGGTTTAGGGTTTAGGGTTTAGGGTTTAGGGTCTAGGGTTTAGGGTTTAGGGTTTAGGGTTTGGGGTTTGGGGTTTAGGGTTGTTGGGCACCTCGTATGTTTGCATGACTTTACATATCAAACAGGCCGCATCTTGGTAAGGATCCGATTGAGCTTGGTTTTCTGGGAGGTCCGGGGCGTCGAAGTCCTCAGCAATGGGACAGTAAACCCTAAACCCTAAACCCTAAACCCTAATAAACCCTAAACCCAAAAAATGTGAAAAGTAACAGCATGTTGCACTTTTGCTCGCCTTTCGCGCATCCTACGGCGTATCGGCCGTGCGAGATCCGGAGTGGCAAAGCTGAACTTGGGGCTGCCACTTAACATGAAACTTGGCTCTGAACAACCTCTAAGCTAGGCTGCCCAGTAACCAAGGCTTAAAAAGGGTGCCCTTTTTTGCTTAAAGGGGTTCATAAGGGAACCTAAACCCCCCAAAAAGGGAATAAGGGTGGTACTGGGCATCCTAGTAAGTCAGTTTTGAATTAGGCTGCAACCCAGCCCTCTATCTACTCCTTGAGCTTGTGGCCCCCAGACCTGAACCAACTACTTCCAAAGGACAGCTGCCAGATCACGCTGCGGCCCTGCACCCTCAGATTGGGTGCGGAGAATTTCGACCATTTGGGAGGTGGCCCAGAGCATGAAGGCCAGGAACTTAGAGTTGAGGTCCCGAGCGTCTAGCTTTCAGCATAGAGTGTGTTCAGCTCCAGTTCATCCAGGATAAACCTTTGAACTTTGAACTGGCTAAGATTTTAGGCTTAAGTTCACGGATGGATTGCTCATAGGTAGCAGCTGCCTGGCCGAACCCATGGCTCAGGTTGAGCTTCTTAAAGCATAGGCTTGTCGACACTAGTTGAGTGAGAGTCGCGACAGTCGCGCAGCACCTCCTGTGAAAATAATGATCGAACTGCCGCGCCTTGTCGGGTAAAGCTTGCAACTTGCAATGCACAAGTGAGGGCCCATGAGACTTTCGCAAGGTGTTTGTGGTGATCATGCTTGTTTTCGCCGGCTGGTGCTTCACAACGCTACCCAACAAGGCGCCGACAATCTAAACGGCTGCCCTGACTGCACTTGCCATTTCTAGAGTCACTTGTCGCGGTTGGCATACTCATGCTTCCTCGCGCTGCGGGAAACTAGGATTTGCAGGGTTTACATGTGCAAGCCAGCACAGACTATTTGGGCTTAGGGTTCGAGTCTTAAAGCATCTCAGATGGGATCTCAATTTCTCAGCAGCAACTTCTCTAGTCTAGAAAAGAGGTAGAGCAATCAAGGACCATAAAACAACAACAACTTGCACATTATCAACGGTTGACTTTTGCTTAAGGAAGTACAGAAAGGATCAACCAGGCTTCGATTTGCAAGACACTCGAGTTCTATCAGGTTTGTCGAGCTTTGCAAGGTTTAAATTCGTCAGGGACAAGGGTATTCCGGCTGGCTACCGGAAGTACAAGCACTTAGGTACCCTGCAAGCGAACACCCCTACTGAACCGCAGTCTCCGAACACAAGCCCCAAACAGCCGAAGCACTAAACGAACCACCCGCGAGTGCAAGGAGCTCCTTGCCGGTAATCTTCTCGTAGATCTCACGCACCTCAAGACACAGGGCTTCTGGGGTTCTTATGTCCTGAAAGTTAAGTGCATTACCAGGGATTCCCATCTTTACAAGAACCGCGACATAAGCCAGCGGGCACGGCTCAGAACAGACTGTCTGGGTTCCCAAGTTCCATGGACATCGCCGTAACAACCCTAAACCCTCAACCCTAAACCCATGAAGGCCTTCATGGCGATCACCGTCTGCAAGAGACCAGTGCCATTCTGTGAGCCCGGAGAGGACTTGAGGCCCACCATCGCCTCACATCCGCGTGCGTCGTGTTTTTGGGTTGAGCGCAAGTCCTTTCGGAGCAGATGCCCCAATTCTACGTCGCGCATCGTTCAGAAAGAAGAAAGTAAGTCCCCAGTCCCTGAACCCCTCCCCCCCCCCCCCGAAACATCGCCACTCAAGCCCCTGAGGGCCTCCGTGAGCTCGCCAGATGACTTGGCTCCTAGGCCCTCGAGGTTGTCCTCAATCTCCTCAAGGTTGCAAGGCTTTGCATGGCATGGGCTTGGGTTCAGAAGTCAAGGGCATCAAGCAGTCAGTGTGTCAGAGTGTGTGTGTGTGTGTGTTTTTTTTTTTTTGGGGGGGGGGGGGGGGGAGGGGCACATCCGCACGATGATGTTAAACGACGATCTGATGTCATGCCTGCATTTCAACAGTCAGCAGGGAGCCAGTGCGCCTTGCTGTATACACTGTAGATGTATATGTATATATATATACAACTCTGTAACGCCAGATTTACCTAACTGCATTGTGCCGTGACCACCATTCGTTGTACACCACATGGCACCAACATCATTGCTGTTGTCCATGTAGTGTCCTAGTCGCTGCAATCCCCGATTAGCCGTTCGCCACACATGCCTGGCAGTTTTCAGGCAACACGGTTGCCTTCATATTCCTTGTAATCTCAGATTGCAGACACTGACCATCAAGTCGGGCCCTTGTAGCTTGTGTTTGTAGCTTGGGGACCGATACCGGACAGTCCTTCAGCTGGCTCTCCATGTTGTCCATGTCGATCTCACCATCCATCTCCACGACGGTGACGTCATTGCCAAACCTCGCTGACAAGTTTGCTGGATTTGGAACGGATTTGCTCCAGGTCCTCAGACTCCAGATTTAAGGGACATGCGGCGCTGGGATACTGGACAACGCCTATCGTGCAAGTAAGGAGTGCTAGTCGTGAACCCCAACAGCACCACACTCAACCTCCAGCCCAAACCCCAACACGAGAGCCAGCTCTTATGTGAACTCAGCCGCATCATGTTAGCGGAGGGGGGGGGAGGGTGGGGCGTGTAGCACTTATGCTGCTAGTTCAGGCCAATTGAGGAGTTGGGAGTGATGGTGCAAGCGCTGCTCCTTGAACCTACAGGTTAAGAGACTTTAATGGTCCCCCGTTTCGGCTTAACGGCCCCTGTTAGCTCCAGCTTGAAGATGACCTTTTTCCTTGTCCGTGTCGGTTATGGAGACCTCCATCTTGCTGGCACACAAGTGTGCCGGAAGTCCAAGTCGCAATCGGGCCAAGGTTTTCGAGTCCCGGCCCTGGCGAACTCAGATCCGATGCCCCACAGGCCGAAGAAACGAGTGCAGATTGTCAGATTGTCGCTGTAATCGTGGCGTGTGAAGTGCCCCGGGTTCAGTGCTTCCGGCATGTGCTGGCGAGACAGGAGCCGGAATCCTTGCTTTCTGCAATGCTGTTTCAGCTCGCGGGTCCTCATCCCGGAGAAGTTCACGGGCTTCATGTTGCGAAGCAGCCTCTTCGGCCCAAGGGGCACCTGGTTGCGACGCTCAGCATGTAGCGGGGGTGTGGCGCGCCAATCGAAGGGCTCATCCCAGGACCGGGTATCCAGCATCCAGTCGCCCTGATTTGAAGTACTGGCTGGTGTGTTTGCTATCCTTGTCCTCGATGAAGAGATGTTGTGTCCACGACAAACTCCTTGTTCCATGTGAGAAGGCCCGATGTCTCCGCAAAGACGTCTATGTAGCAGTGGTACACTGCCTCGCCCTTCTTGACTGCTATTCGAGGAAAAGTTGTCTGAGCCTGATTCGGCTCCCAAAGCTTGATGACCTTGCAGGCTCTCAAGCTCTGCTCCAGCAGCCTGGCAACTTCGATGTTCTGGTGCGCGGTGAGGCCCTCGCAAGTGATGGGCAAACTCACGGATGCAGAGCCCTCTCCCATGCCTTGAGCTGTCAACATGAGAACGACGTCCGGGGGCAACGCGATGGGCTTCTCGTAGATCACGCGACGCCCTCAGCTTCTGTAGTAGGTTTTGCGGAGGTCGGCTCCCCAGAAGGACTGGGCGCCCCTTGCGTTGCAAAAGCTGTCTGACCAGCTCCTCATATTCTGCCGCGACGGTGCAAGGACTTTCTCTCACTCAGTCTGAGTGAGAGAAAGCCCTTGCACCGTCGCGGCAGACCATGTCCAAGCGCAAGACCGATTCACAGCGGCCCCCGCCCCCCCCCCCCCCCCCCCCCCGCCCCCTTCCAGCATGAATCCATTCATGGGACGAAACTCTCGTGGAAACTGTTGAGGATTCCCTCAGCCCTAAACCCTGAAGCCAGCTCATGCAGAACTAAGGTACTTCCAACCCCTTTCCAACCCACGAACCTCTAACCAGTGCAATGAAGACTGATGCTCATGTTTCTCTGAAGGCTCGGACCCTCCTGAACAGATATCTCTAGATCACAGCTTGAAAGCATGAGAAACTCAAAGCCTAAACCGCTTAACCAAAAGCAGGACCGGCCAGCACATCATCAGCCTTGCGAAGATAACAAAGGAGGCAATCATAGACACAGATAGACAACATCAAGCATCTCAGAGCTATCTTCCCTCTTTTCGCTCGGCAGCACTCAGATTTCAGATTGCAGAGAGACCTCAACACCTTCGGCTGATCCTTTGCCCGGCTAAACCGTGCTACACCCGCTGCACATGTGCAGCCGAATCGCCACTCGTCGTCATACATCTTCAGGACCGCTCCTGGCCTGAAAGTCCGGGCAGCCCCATGCATAGGTCTCGCGTGGGGGTTCCCCTAGGAAGACTGACAAAATTCAAGCAGTAGATGATGAGAAAAATCCATGAAATCCCATCTCAAAAGAGTGTGCCTTGTGAGGTTTCTTACTTCCAACAGGGCTGACTGGAGGCCGTGCAACACTGCGACCTGTAAGGCGAGCTCCATACTTATTCTGAGATTCTGTTTCAAGCTTTGGGGCCTGAGAACGTGAGAACGTGCAGCAAACCTTTTCGTAGCATCTCAGCTCCTGGACGTTCGGCAAGTGCCAGGGCCCAAGGCAAAAAGCAAAACCTAGCATTGACCAAGTTTTCCTGGTTTAGGGCTCTGCGGGAACCTTCTACGCCTCAAGGAACTCGCGCCAGCCACTAAAACATGCTCCCCCTAACCCCAAGCCCTAAGCCCCAAACCCTGAACCCTAAACCCTAAACCCCAAGCATGCCCCTACTTGGCCCATGACTCGCTGCCCGACAGGCTCAGGTCCTTCTTGAGGGTGACCATCGGGAACTTGCCATCCTGCCATGGTAGTCGCAATCTTGGGGCATCTAGACAGCATGTGGAGTTCCAGAGACATTTTGGGAGTTCAGGGACTCCCCCAAAACGACCCAAGGACCTCTGCACCGCAACGAGAACAACCGCCTCCAGGCAAGCGCAAGAAAACTCAGTGTATAAGTAGGGTTCAAGCTTTGGTGATCTGACCTTGGAGCTTGGGGGCCCACATGTGGTGGCATGCTGGATGCCCTCTTCCGAGTCAAAGAGCTACTTGCGGACTGAGTTGGCCCATCAACCCGCATTCAGGATAGGTACATCCAACTCGGAAGGTCTCATGACTATAAGTTTCTTCAACAGCTATCATGGCATAGCTGGGTTCTCAGAATACCTAAGAGTTCGATCTGCTTCCTCGAAGAAAAGAGCTGACTCTGAAGGCCAGGCGGCAAAAACGGCCCAAGGTTCAGGATTCAAACCCCTGAGCCCCCAAAAATGCAAAGCCTTGAGCCTGAACGCTGAAACCCCGAAATCGCAATTCGGGTTTAGGAACCTCGGGTTCAGGGTTTAGGGTTTAAGCTTTAGGGTTTAGGGTTTAGGAACCTAAGTGCCGGGGGGATTCTAGCTGAAGGGACTGCACGAGCCCGAGGTCCTTCTTCTGGATCAGCTTGACCTGCGCAACATGGGGGGGGTATACGAACATAAGGGGGCCCTAAGGTAGACCCCCCAAATGGCAGGATCCCCTTGTACTAAGGACCCCAATAAGGGAGCCCTAAGGCCGTAAGATAGCCCCCCCCCAAATAGTAGGATCCCCTTTTCACAAGGACCCCAATAAGGTACCCCCCCCCCCCCCCCTAGTATCGTAAACCTCCAAATGAGCTGAGAGTTATCTATTATGGTCTCGGGAGGCTTTGGTGGCGGCTTCCTGTGGCTCCTATGAGGTTCAGAGAGCTCCTTGCCGATTGTAGCATACAATCTCAAGCAACCGCAACAAAGGCTGCAGACCCACCCTTGCCTTGAGGAAGGGCAGGCCCTTGTCAGAGGGCTCGTAGCCTCAAGACTCATGATGCCGCCCCGTGTAAGTGGGGGCCCATTCTCAAACAACGCCCTGGGTTCTCAAAGTGTAAGTTCAGAGGGCGATGCTTTGTTCGGGAGAGGGGGGCAGGGGCTTGGGGGATCTTAGGGGTCTGAGGTTTGGTTTCAGGTCCTGGCCCGCAACCCTATACCCAAAACAATCAAAAAACCCTAAGCCCTATGCCGAAGGTCTGGACGTACAACCTGCAGCCGGACCATGCGGAAGCCTCCCGTGGCCCTACCTGACCTCAAGACGATCGGCTGGGTGCAAGAAAGGTCTGAGAAACCTTTCGGGCATCTAGCCAAAATCCCTTATCCGGACATTTCAGTGGAGCATGCACTGTCTCCGCCACTGGGATTCCGGACGGAGCACGACATCGGCGTTGGCCTAAGTCCGCAGGAAGGCTCAGATAGGCGAAGCGTCGGGGGTACCCTGAAATCGAAAGTCTCATATTGTTTGTCAGGCGATGCAAAACTTGGCACAGACTCTGTTCTGAGGATTCTGGCTCTGGCTCTGCCAAGCCCTACAACCCTAAACCCTAAACCCTAAATAGCTGCTGCAGCTAGCCGACAGGTCTCCCAAGAATGTGTCAAAAAAAGCTGCAACAGAATGCCAAGACCCAGGACCTTAGGGCTTAAACAGGTTGGGCTGAGTTCTCGCAGGGGGCTTCAGGGCATTTCAGCATCCCAAAACGCATGTCTACCCACTGAGAGCTCGTGAATTTGACAACCTAAACTCTGAATTGCTAAGCCCTCGCACCAGATAGACCTCATTGTCAGATTCAAAACAGAGCCTACACATTAGCCGGGTTCCAGATGTGACAACACGTCTGGGTTCATATGGGGGTTTCCGAAATTAGGGGTACCTTATTGGGGTCGTTGGTTTCCGAAATTAGGGGTACCTTGTCCTTATTCTAAGGGAATGCTACTATTTTGGGGTCTAGATTAATAGGGGTCCCTTATTTGCGTAAACCTCCATATCTGCAGAGCCAACCCCTGGACCTAAACCGCTAAGACCCTTGCCTTCTGGGGGTCCACGTACTTGGAGAAGTCTGGAAGACGCTTCTCAATGTCCTCGCGGACCTCGTCGCAATCTTAGGGTGATGGTTTTACCTGCAGATGCCAACCCAGATGATCCTTGGCGCGGCCACCCTTTGGCCCTTAATCGCCCCCATCCCTCATCGCTTCCTTGAGTGCCCACTCCCAGTAGCTTAGGGCGATCTTCTGTCATGTAGATTTTTGACTTCGGGCTACATCGGACAAGATGGAGGCCAATGGAGAGTGCGTCAAAAAGAGGCCTGCGGATATTCAAGGCAACCCCCCCCCCCCCCCCCCCCCCCCCTCCCCCCCCCCCCCCCCCCCCTTCACCCAACAAACCCCCCTCCCCCTCCCCCCCCCCCCCCCCCCCCTCCCTACAAAGAAAGGGGGGGCCCCCCCCCCCCCCCCATGCTCAATTCCACATTTCCTCTGCCATGTTTGGTAGGATTCCTATTGCTTTTTATTCGGAATCCTTCTAATTTCAAGAGGATTTCTATTAATGTAACAAGATTTCTATTTGCCTTCTTTTTTCGTAGCATTTCTAATCGGACTTCTACTAATTTTAATAGCAGTTCAATCAATTGTAATAGGAGTTGAACTTAATTCGACAAGGATTTCTATTATTTCAATACGAATCCCGTTAAACCTAATACAAATCTTATTAGAAGGGATAAAAATCTCATTCATATTATTAGAAATCTTTCAAAAGTAACAAAAACCCGATTAGAATCAAAAGAAGTCCTATTAAAACGTTAATTAAAATCAAGTGAAACCCTATTAAGAACACTGTTATTGACCAAGGGGGGGGGGGGGCCCCCCCCCCCCCCCCTTGAACAAAGGGGGGGGGAGGGGGGGGGGTAGGGGGGGGGGGAGGGGCCATTGAACAGAGAGGGGGAGGGGGGCGGGGGGGGGGGGCTGGCTTATGTTCCCGCAGGCCGCAGTGGCGCGCACTATCGGCCAATGCGACCTGGACTACCTTTTAAAAAGTGTTGAGGCCTTCCAACATTGCCTTCTCGCAGCGAAAATTTGCAGACGAGTTGTCCGAATCTACCAGAATGCTTGAAGCTTGTGAAGCCTAGTGGAGGATGTGCACGGGAGGAATCACTGGGTGCGAAGTCAAGAGTCTTCATTAGAAGATCTCCCTAAGCTACTGGGGCTGGGGGTTCCTTGTCAAGAGAGTTCCTGTCACGCAGAAAGACTCATGATGGTACGGGTGAACAGAATGACAGGTAAGTTCTCTGGGCCTGTGTTCATTGTATTCACACGCTTTATGAATATTCAAATGGCAAGCGAATGCGCATGTGATTTTAATATTATAAGCGCAGTGAATGTAATGAACGCACTGGTGACTGAATAACTGCCCCTTTCGCCCCATTAAACATTTCACGCTCATAATATTAATACGGCGTGCATGAAATTTACCCGCTGGCATTCCAGGAAGCGATGAGGGGTGGGGGTGATTAAGGGCCAAAGGGTGGCCCCAAGGATCATCTGGATTGGCCACTGTAAGGATCATCTGCAGGTAGTTGACGATGAGCACGGGAGGAATCACCGGGTGATTGCAGCTGTGTGAATTCCAAACTTGGAATCAAGCTAAGGCGCTTGAGCCGTTTTGGCAAAATGTGACCTCCAGCCTCGAGAATCCTGAACCCCAAGTCCCTTACTGCAGAATGTACGCCATACATGCTCTCGGGCTTGGGCGCGGTGTTCTGCATAGAGTCAGACTTGCACAACAAAAAGAAGTCGGACCTGCTCCTCCGTCCAGCCACGCTCAGCAACGTCGCGCTGCACCTGGCGCCAACTTCCGCAGTGTCGGACGGGGAGCCCAACAGACCATGTGCATCCGAAAGTCACTACACTTAGCAGGAACAAGGCTCAACAGTTCAGTATGTTGCGGGATATTTGCACATCTAGGTGTAAGGTGAGCCTGCCAGCACGCTTAAAGCTAAACCCTGGGTCCCGCAGTAGTTGGCTAACAGGACTGGCTGCAAAACAATTGCCAAACAGCATGGGCCCACTTGGCTGCGCACAAAAAACCCCTGAATTCAGCACGCGCCTTCCATGCAAACTTGACGTCGTTCCTGTGGTCTGAGTTTCAAGGCTTCCGGGAGGACGGAATGTACTGAGCGTTACACACCCTAACCCTAAACCCTAACCCCCTAACCCCTAAACCCCTAAACCCTAAACCCTAAGCTGCATGATGTCGCCCAGACTCCCAAACTACTGAGCAACCTGGGGGGGGGGGGGGGGCAGGTTTGGGAAGGTGTGTTGGGACATACTTGGGGACTTGAGCAATGTCCAGTTAATCTTCGGCTTGACATCATACGAAGTAGGGTATATATTGCTTGTATCCCTAAAAGGACACCCCATATATACACTCACCAATATTAAAAAGGAACCTTATATACACTCACCAAAAACAGGAATATAAACCCTACTTCATACAAAGGCGAAGTCCAAAGCAAAGCCGAAAGTCACGATGTCGATGTAGATCGCAAGGTCGAGCTGGGAACGGGCCTGTCGCCAAAAGCAGCTGTGCCAACAAAAAGTCTAAGTGTCAACGCAACGTGCTTGCCCTGGCCTCCCTGAACCCTAAACCCTAAACCCTACAACCGGCCGCCTCTCAAAAGATAAGCTACGGTTGAGTATCCACCAATCCCCCACCCCCAATTATGCAACCTCCCCCCCACCACCCCCCCCCCCCCCACCCCGTCTCTCGAAAATCGAGCCTTCAAAACCCAAAAACCACCAACAAAAAGACTTTGCTTGGGGCTTTCAGGCTTCAGGAATCCGTGGGCCTTCTCGTCGTAGATGGGATGCAGGCCCTCGAAGACCATGACCTTGTTCGGCTCGATCAACTCAGGGGGGTCCTGCAAGATCTGGCGCAAGATGCGAGAACGTGTGAAGTCGTATGCATGCAGTCACTGCCCGATCTGCCTACCTGAAACGGACCCTTTGGGTTTTAGCAGCTGCTCTCCTTGTTGCCGGTGTCGTGGTTGTAGATCGGCTTGTACACTGCCTTGCCTTACGCTCGTGCACATGGAATGGCTTTTGCGTGCTGCCAGGAACCCTTAACCAACCCTTGGCAGAATGGAACATGCCGCACACATGTGCATGTGCACTGCACGCTGCAAACAAAAACGCCCAACGTGTTGCAGTCAAAGCCACCGCTCAAAACATCTGCACGCTTCGACTGTTCAAGGTTCCGGGCTCTTAACTCCGCTTTTAAGTCGGGAACGACCATGGTCCGGTCGAAAGCCAGGTTCTGAAAGCACTAAACCCTAAACCCTAAACCCTCAACCCTAAACCCTAAGCCCGAAACCAAAGCTCCGATTCCTCCCCCCCCCCCCAATTCCCAGCGCACCGGGCCCAAGAATTTCTGCCCCAGCTGCCGGTCTTCAGGGCCTCGATCTGGACGCCCATCAACGCGAAGTCGTTCCTTCAATGCTGGGGTTTTGGGCTTAGGGTTCAGGGTTTAGGATTTAGGGTTTAGGGAGACGGCTTTGAGCAGCTTCGCGGCTTTACAGGGATTTGTCGAGTCTTTGGGTCGACAGTTTTGCAGTAGCCTTTGGAAGACCAGAACTGCAAAGGGTCGGACTACGTCGGACCTTTGGCTGTCGTGTTGCTGTTGTTGACAACGCGCTTGCGCAATGAAACCTGACAGTAGTGATTTAAATGGCAGTGGCACTGGTCTGGTATCTGACGCAATGTGGGAAAGCCTCGCCGACTCCTGGTCCAGAGCTCATTGCGTGTTCAGCTCAACCCAAAGCCTGAAAGAAGCATGAAAACAGCTATATTAGCTAGCACCTGAGTTGCCGATAGATACAGAGATCTGTTTATCGCAGGTTGCCATCTCCGTTTGGCCTCCATGGCATTCCCAAAGCCCTTTCGCTGCTGAAGCGGACTCCGAAACACAAAAGCCCCAAGCTAAGCATCATCTCTGACAGGTGGCTCACGTGCATCCAGAGCCGTGAGACCAGTTGCCTTCAGCTTTGATGTTCGGGGATAGTATTTTTTGCACAGTCACATTCCGACCAAACTGGAGGAGTTGTAAGGAATTCAGCGGCTGACAAGCCGGCAATACAGGACTGTAGAGCCCATCGTCCAGAGCTATTCAGTCCACATCGCTGAAGCTAGGATCTACAGTACAGCTGCAAGCTCCATAAAGAGCGGATGCAACCAGACTTGTGAACGTGAGCGGGGCAGCCCTTGAATTCAAGTAAGCAAGCAACCAATCGACTTCGCACATGCTACACAGTTCAATCTCCACCATACACTGTGAACCCAAAGTCCCGCTGATGGCCTTGCGTCCGGCACGGTCGTTGGTGTGGTAGTCGTCGAGGCAGATCACCTGGGCTATACATGGCTATACTGCAACCCTAAACCCTAAACCCTTAACCCTAAACCCTAAACCCTAAACCCTAAACCCTAAACCCTAAACCCTAAACCCTAAACCCTAAACCCTAAACCCTAAACCTGCGCAAGGCAACCTCCAGGCCTTTGCTTTGCACGTGGAAGCCTAGGTGGTCCAAGCTATGCTGGGCCGCATCGTCGTGTTGCCCCTATAGCTGCCTCTGCACGGGGAAGCTCCTTTAGAGGCAGGTGCAGACGAGTCACGGTCATCATGTCGCCGATGGCCGTGTGCCTAGAGAACACAGGAGCTGGTGTTGCTCGGTCACTTAGCCAAAGATAGCCGAGGCTATTCTCTTGGTATCTTGGACCCTGAATATCATGAGCCCGCTTGGGTTCGTCCAAATGCAACAACCATCGATCCAAGGTGTCACATCTCGAAAACCTGAAAACCTCTAGCCCTGGAGCCAAAACTCCAAACTTCTTGCACCGTCCCCCTCCAAACCCCCTAAACTCATCTCAAGAATTCATAAACCCAAGCACTACATACCGCTACAACCCCAATGCACCCTAAACCCTAAACCCTAAACCCTAAACCCTAAACCCTAAACCTCAAGTAGCTCCCCCAAGCTGAGCCCCAGGCCCTGGCGCGACCTCGGTGCCCAGGGCCCCAAGGATGCGGCGCAGGAAGGTGGACCTCAGAGTTTCCTGCTTTGTGGTAGAAGCTACAACAGGGTTCAGGGTTCAGGGTTGAGGGTTCAGGGTTGAGGGTTGATGGTTGAGGGTTGAGGGTTTACAGTAGGGTTCTCAACGATACTCCACGTTACAGCTTCAATATCTATATTTACTTGTTCAGAGCCCATGGCCCAGCAGACCCTTGGGGCGTGCTAGACTACAGGATTTCCTGAAGACACTATGACATCCGAGGCGCTTTCCACAGCCGGAGTCGGCAGCGACACCCACAATCACCGGGGTGTCCTACAATCAACTGGGGCTTACTGAGAAGCACAGGAGCTCTGGAGATTAGGCCTCAGCTCCAAGCCTTGAACCCTTTTATTGGGGGAACTTGTCACTTGTGAGACTGCTGAAGGCCCTTGCAAGATCTTGCAATATGCCACCCGGAACCGACAAGAAGACAACATGCGCCAAGCCCAAAAGCGCACGGCAGCCTCCAGCTCCACCTTGGAGCTCACAATTGGGTCCATGTCATCCTTCCTGGTCTTTCGGAGATGTCACAGGTTTGGCCTTCGGGCCTTTTGTGGCTCAGTTTGTTGGCTTCGGAGAAAGGCGGGGGCTGCAATGCACAGGTCAAGTCTGAGTATGGCCGGGTAGAAGTTTGGCCCCAGCCCAGCCGACCAAAGGCTCACCTCCCAGCTCCAAAGCTTTTCCCTTTACACTGGTGTTGTGGGGCAAGGCCCAAGTCTTTGCCCAGCGTCGTACGCTTGAGGGCTTTGTGATGTTAGCGAACTCCAGAAGAAAAGTTTCATAGTCTGGGATCGAAGGTGCTGACGCCTAGTGCTGGGCTATCGTGGAGGAGGCTGGGACCTTGCGCAAACCTAGGGCGGGCATTCCTCACCTGATCGAAACAAGAACCAGTTCCATGACGTCATGTGTGTCATTGCGAACTCAACCAGTGAGTCTGTGATGGCGCTGCAGGCATCAGGAAAGCTTACATGTGGTTGCTTAAAGCTTGAAAGTTTTCTTTGAGGCTCGAGCTTTGCTATCACAGGGGGTACAATTTACTTCTGTGAAGCTTGAAAACGCTCCGCGAACCATGTTTTCTGTGAGTAGGGTAGTTTATGGCAGCCAAGCTTCCAGGCATGGGTTGGATAAAGCTTGATGCCATCAACCTGTCAGACTGTGTGGACAGCGGGGCGGCTCATCTCTACCACAACGGCAATTGCACAAGTTATAATACAGTATGAGTTGGACAACAAGTGGAGGCAGCAAAGGAATGAAGCTGCACATGCTTCGGGTTTGGCGGACGAGTCCAGGGCAAAGGCCCGCACGTCCCGAAACTGCAAACCAGAGGCCCAACAAGCATCCGTCGTGAAGCAGCCCTTGACACTTTAGATATTGAACGGCCTTGCCAGCACCCCGTTGCACCCAGAGCCAGCAGGCTTTGCACATGACCGCAAGCATACTGTTATACTGTTAAAAACCACCTTACACGGAGTCTTTCGGGCCCGACCCATGACTTCCAGCCTCGCGCAGCTTCTCCTCGGCCTTTGGGCCAGCAATGTGTAGAGGTTTGGAGGCGGGTACCAGCTGTACAAAGCTCCCTGCACAGTACGCAGCCAAGGAAACACCCCGAACCAACATTCACCTCACGGTCCAAAGTTGTCGCTTCGTGAAGATGCGCCCCTTACAAGACTTGCAACAGGAGTCAGCTAGTCGAAGGTGGGCTTTATGCTTTCGGCAACCGGTGAATGCCAGAAATCCTACAAGTTCCTACACCTTTTATGCAGGGCTGTCCAGATGTAGGCTTTATGCTGCTTGCGAGCGAGGATTCCATGCTCTCAAAACCCTGAAAAAGGTTCACGCACTTGCCTACATTGGGACTGCCCCGTTTGGCGCCTCAGGAGAAGGCCAAACAAGGCCGGTGGGCACACTCTCACCGCCTTGGTAGCTTGAGCAGCTCAGCGCATTGATTTTTGGGAAAATCACACACAAGGTGCCAAGAGAGGCAAGATGGATTGCAGAAACACTGTGCGCAAGGGCGCTACAGGCGCTATACAGTCAAAGTCTAGTCTTTAGATGCTGAGCCTGAATCATTCGTGGAATGAGGGGAGGGCCTGGCTGGGATTGTCAATTGTGGCCCACGCTCTTAAAAACAAATCGTGCAAATCCATGCCAAAGAGACTTCTCCAATCAACAGCGTCCTCTACTGGAGGATGAAGAACAGGAGCCCTTTGCAGCACCAACCCAAAAGTCGAGCCTGCAACCCCGTGCCACTTGGCATCGAGGCCCCAACCACCAAAGCGTGTCACGCTCGGCGTGCGTGAGGCCGGAGAAACGCCCACAAAGGCACGGCAGGCGTAGAGGGCCACCAGGGCCTCAGGGTTTAGGATTTAGGGTTTAGGCGTATGACCACATCACACACAACAAGCAAGAGCTAAACACACAGGAGCATGACCACAGTACACAAAACAAGCAAGAGTCCAGGACACAGGAGCGCCACGTGACAACACATCCAAACGAGTGCACAGGAGACAGTCGTGTGGCTGTGGGTGCGACATGACACAACGATACTCCCCTTAGAACCTTAAACAAACTAATATGTTTAGTATCCTCTTGGGTTTTATTTAAACAAAAATGAAAAATGATTAACAGCCACAAGGCTGCCGGGACAGCACAAGGCAAGCAAGAACCGAGGACACAGTCGCTTGACACACCAGCCGAACGAGTGTTCAGGAGACAGGAGTGTGACCACATGACACAAAACAAGCAAGTCTAAGAACCCAGGACACGTGAACTTGATCACACGACGAGAAAACAAGCATGACAACAAGACACAAAAAAACAAGGACGAGCCAAGGACACAGGAACCACAGGACCGACAACAAGCAAGAGCCCCGTTCACGGGCGCGTGACTGCACGATGCAGAGCCAAGCACAGGGATCATAGCAGGCAGAAGACTGCACTGGGGGGGGGGGGGCGGGGTGACCATATGACAAAGTATCCGAAAGACGGTACAGGACACGGGATTGCGACCACGTGACACCAACACGAAGGAGCCCAAAACAATGTGACCGATGCAACAGCCACCGACAGCACAGGGCACGAGTGTGTGTGTGTGACCACGACACTACAAGCAAGAGCCTAGGACTAGGGCCTAGGACACAGCAACGGGATCTTGACCGCCAAGACAATCTGATAGGCTCTCTATCAATACCCCTCAGGAAGGCGACCCCATGATCGTATCAACTACTTTCTGACAGAAACGATGCCTTGCTTCGGCCGTACTACTGGTGACGATTGTGACGCTTTGCATGCTGACAAATGCACAGAACGTCATATTCCGGTGTGGATACTGCTCTCGCTGCATTGCTGGAGCAGAAATTCAGATATTTCTCAGGTTAGTTTTGTTTCCTGACTTTCTGGGCAAAAAGTTTGTGGACAATCGTCAAAACCCCAAGCCCATTGAGTCCTAATTATTCGTGCAGCAGACAAAGGGAGACAGGGATTCCTCAGGGATTCAAGCGCCGAGGTGCCGCCACCGCGGGCAGGGCAGAGGAAGTTGAACGGCGCACCATTGTGGCTGCGGGAAGAGGCCTCATCATCTGAAGAGTAGGTTTCCATGTCGACTCAGACGTTTAGGCTCCGAACTGAGGGCTTGTTTATTGAAAGGTGCCACTGAAGGGCCTGTTCTGGGCTTGACGGATTGCTCGAAGACTTGGGCGGAGAGTCTGGTGTATCGGAATGACACATAAAGACTGCCCCTTTCAAACTGAGCTCGGCTTTCAAGGACCTTTCGAAAGACTCCCCCAAACCAATAAGTGGTACTCTGGACCGATACAGTACAACCCAAAGCATTTTACGGTAGCTGCCAGATGTCCCATGCGAACCATACCCACGCGGCTACACTTAACAACGACAAGCTGAGCTGCAACAGCCTTGAAATTCAAAGCCATACATCTTCACACCTCTTCAGGCCTGCCCCCTGCCAACCCTTAAGAACCCCCTAAAACCCCTAAAAACCCCTAAACCCCCTCCCTGGAGCGTGCCTCAGAACCGGCCAGTCTGACAATGTGCAGGGCTTGGCAGAGCCGATGTTCGAGCCCGATGTGGCCCATCTCAACTCAATGGGAAGGCTGAGGGTCCGCAAGCTTTGACATTGGGGTCTTCAGAGCAACTGAAGCGAAACCATAACCCTGAGATTAGAAAAACATTCCGAAGGAGCATATACTCAATACGAGCACTTCGCATCCACTCCGTATTTTCTTGTCTTCACAGCTGTGGGCAATTCCGAGTCTGAGTTCTAGTGAACAGCTCCTGACACACAGGAGGTAATTGCATTGGCAACATCCGGACCGCTTCCGGGTCCCACGGTAGCCGGGTCAGAAACGCCTGATTCCTTCAGGTGACCCTCACGCTCCCGGGACGCATGACTCTCATGCAGCCCCTGTACCTCCGAAGGATGGTACTTCCCAAGACACGGATGACTCCACGGGAGCTCGGTGTCTCAGGGTGGGCGGGTGGGAGAAAAGAAATGTTCCAGCTTGCCAGTTTGGCTCTAGCCAAGTCTTAAGCCAAAATGTAGCAAGCCGGTACATTGCATCCTCAAAATGAAACATGCACACCCAAGGCCTGCCTAACTCAATGCATGTGCACATTCCGAAGGAGCATATACTCAATACGAGCACTTCGCATCCACTCCGTATTTTCTTGTCTTCACAGCTGTGGGCAATTCCGAGTCTGAGTTCTAGTGAACAGCTCCTGACACACAGGAGGTAATTGCATTGGCAACATCCGGACCGCTTCCGGGTCCCACGGTAGCCGGGTCAGAAACGCCTGATTCCTTCAGGTGACCCTCACGCTCCCAAGGCACTCACCCCAATGCACTTCACTACAAGTACTCGAACACCCGGATAGCTGCTTCCAGCGGTAACGCCCAGAGCTGAAATGGGAAGAAAGCTAAACTAGTGGAGAAGGAGTGCGACTGATGCCATTCGTCGTCGACTCCCAGCCTGCTAATGGCGTCGCTCCAATTGGATTTGGACGGCACCCATTCCCAATATATCCAGGTTTGGAAGACAAAGAGACACAAATGTATCAACTGCGCCAGGCGGGACAAATCAGAGTTGTCGGACCTCCCACGGATGAGGGCCATCAATGCCGCAGTGTTGTCGATGTACCAGATTCCGCGCCTCATGCGAAATCTTGCAGGCCGAGCCACCAGAGCGAAAAGCACCATGCTGAGCTCCAGCTGTGCAATTTTCTTGTCGCCCGGTCCCCAAAGGGCATAAAGCTCCTCCGGACATGCCGCGACAAAACCCTCTCGGACCTGGCTCGCACCTTGCTGCCAAATCAAGAGGAAACCTCCGGTTCCGGCTTGAGGCTTCTCCTCTGCTGCGTCACTCGCAGCTATGAAGCGTTGCACTGGTGGGTTGGACACCCAAAAGCGCCTCTCAGGACGAAATTTTAGGAGTGCGCGAATAAGCTGAAACGTCTGGAGGATGTCCGGCGAGAGGTCGGATTCTTTGCTGCGCTGCCTGTCACACAGAGCAGCGAGGCCACCGCATCCGACTCGTCCATACATGCCCTGCTCCAAGAAGTTCATCAGGCCAAACATCTTCGCAGCAAGCCCGGCCTTGAGCGAAGACGCAGTCTCGGATTGCTCGATGAGGTCGGACATTTTGGTGAACAGGCGTTCTCTCGCCCAAAAGGTGACGAACCCCCTCTGCAAGGCTTCGGAAAGGTCGTGGTCCAAGCCCAAGAAGGATCCTTGAACTGCCATGGGTTGCCTCTTCTCTTCGGCAAACGGCGTTCCCAGACACTTGTTGAGCTCTCCGACTGCCCATTGTCCGCTTCCTTTGGAGGAGGACCAATCCACCATATTGAAGTCATCAAAGTAGGAAGAGGTCACTGTGAGCGCCACTCTACGTGACGCAGCTTCACTGAATCTGCTGTACCGATTGAATGACGTGACTGCAAGAGGCAGGCCGAAAAGGAGGCCGGAGTAGATCTGGAATGCCGGGGCCTGCCATTCTCGGTGCCACCACACCACCAGGCAGCACAACGCCTCCTCTTCTGACATAGGGCAATGTCTGTAAGCATCCGGCCAGTCTTCGCCTCCGGACTCAAGGGAGTCACTCTCCCTAGCCCGCTCCAGCTCACCCTGGGGCAGCCTGGCAATGACGGCCTGGGCATGCTGCGCTGGTCGCAGCGCGCTGCAGAGCACAAGCTTGTTGGATTCCCGAGACGAGGCCGACTGGCCTCCCGTGTCTGCATTGTCAATGATACGCTTCTTCCCGGAAGACTGCGTGATGACGCATCTTGGTACGAGTCGAAAGGGCTTCCCTTTGAGCTGTGCCAAAAGGGCCTGCTTTGTCAGTGGAGGGGAGCAAAAGCCAGACTCAAAATCTTTGGTTGACTGGGACAAGAGGAAATCGTCGTCCCTGGAAGGTCCAATTGACTGCAGAATTTTTGCATTGTGCGCCCGCCAGTCGCCCAGCACGTCCTCGTAGGAGATATGGTCTGCTGGCATTTGCGGGAAGATGCCATAGCATGGCGCGAAACCCACTGCCGGCATACCTGCTATGAGGGAGAAGGGGAGAGCGGTATCTGGCCATGCGAAGAGCACCACCAGGATAGCTACCAGACCCACGTCTCGCGCCGCCGTCACACGGCGAAGTGCTGGTTGCTGAAACCCTCGAAGGTGAGCATCCAAAGCTGCGCACCGTCGTTTCAGCTCCCTGAGGGCTCCCATTGCATCTTGTCGCCACTGCCGCAATCTTGTTCGCTGCGAAGCCGTGAAGTCAGCGGCAAACTGGAGGTCATTGTCCAGCACGGGAGCCTGTTCCGTAGGCATGGGTGTACGGATGCGCGCCAGCGCTTGTTGGAAGTGTACATCAGCTGGCAGGCCAAACGAGATCACCGGCGGCAAGGCTGCCCGTTGACTGAGTGCTCCTGCCTGCTGCCCCGCCGCTCTCTGTAGGATGCGCACGGTGGAGGGACCAGTGGCCGGGCCGCAAGCACCAGCCCAGTCAAGCTCCGACACTCGGAGCCAGCGCCTGTAAAGATCGAACGGGGGGGCATTAATAAGGTCCTCGATGCAGGGAAAGGTGAACCCGGTCATCCATGCTTCCGGAAAGAGCTTGCGGACTGCGAGGACCACGTCTTCCTGGCGCATAAAGTCGGAAAAGATGGAAGATGCATCCGCCAGCGGAGCTATGGCCAGCCCCAGCGCTCTAGGGAAGCGATGGCTCCGCTTCCTTGCTCGGCCCCTGGGGTTGGTGCTCTGCTGCGGCTGTGACGTGGATCTCACAGTCGACAAGTGCTCAAAGACAAGGCCCGCCAAAGCATCCCCTTCCGAGGGGTGTTCTGCCACGGCATCGACCACCAGGACTTTCCCTATCAACTCGGTGAGGTGGTCGCTCAAGTTGTCCCTGATGTGTTGAACGTAGCGCGGCAGGAACTCGTCGAATGCGCAATCGTGACCCGCCGTGAAGGGAGGTGCCCATTTACTGCGCGCCAGCCGATGTCGGTGATGGCCCGGCCCCACGTAAATGCAGTTACGTGGGAGGGTCCCATCGGCACCAATGACTGCTTCCACGACTTTCCTCGGTGGGATCCGAGCTGCTTCTTCGGCACTAGCTGGCCCCAAACCCAAAGAGATGGCAAGCGGTGCCAGCGCCCATGACCGCAAAGATCTCGGATCCATCAGTGGCCACTCCTCACGCCGCCCCACGCAACAGGGCGTCGGCATGCGCGGCACAGCCAGCTTCGCTCGGCCCACCCGGACGGCCCACCATGACACGGAAACGGCAACTGCAAAGACAAATGGCGCTGTGTACTCCGCCTCCTCCTTGGTGGGGTACACGTATCGTCCATTCAGCAGATATGGTTGCCACTCGTCACTGGCATGCACATGGTGGCATTGGAGGGGGGGCCATGAGGATATCTCTGGGATGTTGTGACGAAGGCGCTGCCTCTTGCATCGGGCTCCTCCCCAACAACAGGCATCATAATGAGTATCCGCCCAGAGCCCTGTGCGGAAAGCTGCCACCTCTTGCTGAAGTAGCCAATGCAAGCTGTTCACCGGATTCTCTCGCATTGCCCCAGCTCCTCTCTCCGCCACCTCTTGCATGACTTGCAGCATGAAGCCACAGGCATTGTTGTCACGCTTGACGCGGTGCTGATCCGCCGGCGACAGGCCGTCCAGTCCCTCGGGTTGTCGAGTAGAGCGGAGGGGACCTGGGCCCCGGCGCCCATCATCGAACACCCTCGGCACCTCCCTCGCTCTGCTTTTGGTGGAACAGTCGAACGCCGCGGACACAAAATCGGCCTCCTTGAGCTGCTCCCTGAGGCTCTGCTGCCGAAGGGGGTGTGCCAGATCATGCGAGGAGTCCAGTTGAATATCCAACGTCAGGCAGCGCCATCCACAGAACAGGAAAGCTTTCGTGAGCGGGGCATTGGGACCAGAAAAGATGTCTGCCATCAACGGCGATTCCGGATCCTCGGAATCCGTGCTAGACCCCGAGGAGGGGGTCGCCTCCCCCCCCTCGGGGCCCCATCAGGCCTTCACTTTCTGCTTGCAGTCCTTAGCCCCATGCTTCGTTGAACCACAGACTCGCTCGCCTCGAAGGACAATCCCGCACATGTGCCGATCAGGACACTTGGCTCCTTTGTTGCAACGTCCTTGCTGGAACTCGACGCACAGACGCTTGCCATCCTTCATGACTCTGGCCACCTTCTTGCCCGCTACCGGGGTGCCGAGCTGGAACGAGGAAAGTTTAGGCGGGCTCGGTAGCTGGGTAGTTGCCGCGGCCAGCATCTTCGGTGTGGGATTGTGGCTAGATTCTCCTGGGCCTCCGCTTTGGATGGCGATCCAGTGCGCGTCTCTGAGATTGAACACCTCACGCACGACTTGGCCGAGTGTCTTGGTGGACTCGCGGAACTTGGCCACCCAGACTGCCCTCTCCTCGGAGTCTCTCTGCTGCAGCCAGTCCAGCCGCTTGTGTGCTGGTAGCGAAACCACCGACCTCTTGGCGCGGTAGTAGTACTCCATAAGGACGTCCAGTGGCGCCTGGACAAAGATCGTGGAGTCCGCTCCAAGCGTGTGCTCCTGATTGGCCTGGGGCGCTCCCGCCACCTGATCCACCCCTGCCAACGCGTAGGCTGTCAAGAGGATGTGGAGGCGGTCGAGGTAGTTTTCCCAATCGTGCGGGACTGACTCCTCCTGCTCCGTCTCCTCCGTGAACAGGCCGTCCCCCAAGCGTCTCTTCTTGCTGGTAGTAACCAGCTGGAACTGCAAGCTCTTGACCTTCCATACGGAGAAAACGCACAGGAGGCGCTTGTTTAATTCTCGCGTCACTCGCGAGAGTGTTGCATCCGAAGGATAGAGCTCGGGGGGGAATCTGGTACGATACCTGCGCCAGAATTGCTGCTTCATGTCACGCAGGCTTGTATCATCCAAGAGATCGTCCAAGTCTGATTCGCCGACTTTGGTCCTCCCTGCGTCAGCATGCTGAAAGAAAACCTTCACTGCAGCCCAGGTGCGCCTCAAACGTGCGGTTTGCACGCCCTGGACATCGCCCAAGTTGAGTCTCTGAACCCAGACCCCTATCTCGGCTTCCGACTCGAAGAAGTACCGGAATTCCTCAAGGTTCTTGAGCTTGGCCTTGACCAGGGCCTCGAGGATTTCATCAGCAAATTCGAAATTGAGTTGCAGCGACACAAGTGTAGCACGAAAATCAGCGCCGTCTCTCGGCACTAAGTGAAAAGATGCCATGGCTAGGCCGAAACCGTGGTCACTCCACACCCCTGCACTAAGGATCGGCCGGGCCTTGGGCTGACAGCTGCGCGAAATCCTGCGAGATCGAACACAGTGTGCAATCCTGGGGGGGGGAGGTGTGAGGGCGTAAGAAAATTAAAAGAAGACTGTCGTGGACGCATGCACTGCCTAGCTGCCCTAGCTCACAACAGCCACTCTGTTGCATGGCAGACACGGCTGGCTCACAGCCGACACCACATGCTACACTGCCCCAGGCCCTAGCATGTGCGCCCCAGACAATCTTTTGCATGGCAACCTATGTCGGACGGGTACGCCCCACTCCCTACGACAAGCTCTGCGCTTGTCCTGGAGCCCTAAGAACGATGCCGTTTCAGCACCTGCGAGGGTCACGACCGGAGCCTTATCAGAGAGTGGAATTCGTCTCTCTTAAATGCAGCATGTTATCCACCCGGTAACTCCGGGGGATTGATGTACAGCCCCTCTGCACACTCACTTTGGGTGGAACTTCGCTGCTGCCCGCTGGAGGCAGTCTTTGCAGAAGGGACGATCGTAGCCCTGGGCTTCCTCCACGGACTCAACCTCGGTCACATCCTTGAGCCTTTGGCTAGCAATGGATCCTTGGCGATGCTTGCAAAGAGGCACTCCTTGCTCCACTTCCAAGTGAATCTGGGACCGGTCCGTGAAGATGAATGCTCGAGGGGATGGCCAAACCTTGCCCGACATGCTGTTCTTTCGGGTGTAGCGGACCCACTTCGCCACCGTGCCCTGAGCCATTGCCTTGTGGATCTCGACGTCACGTAGACGGCTGACACGCCTCTGGGCTTCCTCGAAGCTGATGTTGTCCACCAAGGCCAAGAGGAGGGACTGCCCAGTGGCAGCTCGATGGCGGCCAGCCATGCAGTGGCCCAGGACACTACCTCCTGTGAAGAGGGTTTGGCGAATGACTGGCCAAGCTTCGCGCCACTGATCGTCCCGAGACGTCGAATCAGTGATGCTGATCTGGAGTTGCAGGGCACCCGGCAACGCCACGCCACCACGTGCTGTCACCGCCTGCTGCATCCAATTGAGCTGAATGTCACAGCGCGGAAAGGAAGACGCTGTGTCCTCCGTAGGCAGCCCTGCCAGCCACAGGATACCACCATTCGCTCCTTCCCAGATCTTCGTAGGCCGCTGCGCCGAATTGCCACCCACCGTAGCCAGACGATCGAAGTGCACCTCCAGATTGCTCGCCCCACTCCTCCAGGCCAGGTGTCCGCCCCTGACTGCCCAGGGCGCTTCTCTCGAGGTCTCGTCGAACTGGGAGATGACGGCGGTGGGGTTTTTGGAGGGGTGCGCGGCCGTAGGAGTCTGCTCGGAGGCGGGCCCACAGGCTCTGCAGGAATCCGCCGCGGGGCTTCAGGCGGTGGCCTCACGGGAACTGCTGGGGATTCCACCCGCTGCCGCTTCAGTGGCGGAAGGTCGCTGGCGTCACTCGCCAGCGCGCGCCGCTGCGGCCCCTTCTTAGGATGAGGCGGCAATGCCGCAGCCTCCTCCTTGGAAGCCTTAGGTGCCCCTGCTCGTGGCCGCAGGACCACCGCGGCCACCTTGGGGCGTGTCCCCTCACGCTCAGGCGATAGAGGAGCAAGCACCGCGCGCTTCTCCCTGCATTCCTTGGCCGGATGGGAACCACCACAAACGCGACCTGACTGAACCAGGATCGCGCATCGATGCTGGCCTGCCGGGCAAGGGGAAGGACCGCTGCACCTCCCCCTCTGATATTCGACACAAAGACGTGCTCCATCACGAAGTGAAGCCGACACCCTCTTGCCGTTGATCTGCCTTGGCATCATGTACTCGACTCTGTCAGGCAACGGCAATGTACGTGGCACGTTGAAGCGGGGCTTAGTCTCCCGGAGGCGAATAGGGCTCTGCCATTCTGTATGCAGATCCCTCTGAATAGCCACTTCCATCACTGCCGCCCCGGTCGACTCCGCCTTGGCCAACTCGGCACCTGGAATCTCATCCCATGTCGCAAAGGAGGTCAGCACGCCGATGGAGCCTGCCAGCCAGTGCTTACGACGGACACTCGTCGTATACCTGGCTCCACTGTAACGCAGTGGCATAGTGATTCCCTGGGCCTTCTGCTTGGTTGTGTCTAGCCAATCTCCTAGTGCAAGTTGATCCGAAGCTGCCCATCCGGCCAAATTGGCGTATGTCGGCCCTACACGCCGAAACGAGTATGACGTTAAGCTGGTAACGTCAGCTCCCACATGTGGCGTGAAGATGTCCTGCGCCACCTTGATGGCTTGGGCCGTGGTAAAGGGTGCCCCTGCAGCATCGAATGGCAACCCGCTGTAGGTCTGTGCACCTTGGGGCAGGGCTTGCCAACTCTTCAACCAGAGACGGGCCCAAGGCCATCCAGAGCAAAAGACCGCCGGCACCGCAAAGTCGAAGCCTGCACGATTGCCGCGCTGCTTCCCTCGACTGCAGTGGAAGTGGAAGGTCGATCTGGAGAGGCGCATTGGGGATGCCCGCCGCAAGTGTTCAAACCGCAAACACCCCGTCATGCAGCACCAAAGCCCCACCAGAGCACGCCACAGAGGGTTGTTGGCCTGATACATGTCCTGCACTGCTTGCTCCAGGATAGGTACCATTGTTGGCACCAGCACCGCCGCCTGCTTGGGCTCCTTTTGGGGGTTCTGGCGGAAGTCGTAACCTCCCAACTCGAGGCCCAAGGTGCCCGTTTTGGCTAGCCACTTCAGGCCGGCCAAGGCCCGCGACTGTGCTTTGGTCCCACCAAAGAGAAAGGCGTCCACATCGACTGCTCCTGGCGGAAAGCGGCGACCTCGTTCAAACATATGGACCTGGAGTTCGCCGAAAGTGAGAAGTGCCCCCTTCAGTGTAGGCCGCTCTGTGACGAGGATCTTCCCCGTGGCCCGACGCCTCAGAGCTGCACGCCACTCCTGCTCCAACTGGGCCGTGATTTCCCCAGCCGGCTTCATGGCCCCCAATTGATACAGTGCCTCTGCTAGCTCGTCAGCGAACTCCTCCGCCAGCCTGACCTGACTTTGGGCCTGGGGGGGATCTCGATGAGCACAGCTACGAAACAATCGCCCCTTGGCCGCCACTCTCTTGAGGAAGGTAGTCGGCCTCCGTGCCACCTGCGCTGCCAGGTTGCTCGAACCCACCGGCGCATCCAAGGCAGACGCCACTGCTCCAAAGAGAGAGCCTGATGCCTCAGATCGAATGGTTGCCCACTCTTCTGCAATCAGGGTTCCTCCCGTAGCGCGTGCCTCCTCATAGCTAGCGAACGCAAATGCAAAGTCAGTGTCATTCGCGTAGCCATGTTGGGTGCGCCACCGAGACGCATACTGGGTGGCATACTCGTCAAGGGCCGTGTATGCTGCTTCAGGCGCAGAGTCTGCTGCCAAGGATTCGGCTGCATAGACCCCGAGAGATCCCGGCATGGTAAGCAAGACCAGCCCTAAGCCCAATGCTTGAAGCCCAAAGCTCAGGTGGACCCTCAGACCATGAGATGCTCCCGAACAGCGAAACAAAGAACTTGAACACAGACTGCAAAATTTCCCCAGGGTCCTCGCCGAACTCGCCCAGCCTGACCACTCCGAGCGACGACCTGAGCATTTCAGTGATGCAAACAGGGTAACTCCCTGCCGCTCACAAGAAAATGGCGCTTGCGGGGTCACTCCCCGCCCATTACACATGTGCATTTGTGGGTACCGCAAAATTGGAGGTCCGCCCCGGATCCCCACACTCGACTCAAGTCTCCTCTCAGTCGCTCTCACTCCCAGAGCCACTGTCGGACAGGGGCCGTGACGCCATGGCCACCCGTGCCTGCAAGCAATCACGGCACATTGCTGACTGCAAGATCTGGTGCACGAAATCCCCTGAGCCCCCGCAGTCCACACAGACCGCAGGCATAGACCGGCCCGCGGGGTCTGCCGCCCATCGTAGCCAAAGCAGCATAGACCGATGGGCTTTGTGCACTTCATTGGCCCGTGCCTGGTTGGGCGTGGGCTCTGGGAGTAAGAGTGGATCGCGCCAGGCCCGTTGTCCCTGCTGCCAGGTTCGCCAAGCCCGAAACACATCGTCCACAGAGGGATGGTCTGCGCCGTGGAGGTCGTTGATCTCGGCCTGATAGAGCACACGCGCAAATGTAGCAGTGAGCATATCCTGCAGCTCCAAGCCCGAGCTAGCATCCCACAGCCTGTCCTCTGCAAGAACTTCTCGGCAACGATCGTAGGCGGCAAAGGCCACCGCTGGCCCCAACTCAGGCTCCTCCACGATGGCTGCACTCTTGGACCAGGGGCCAAGGAAGGGGAATTGGTAACCACCTCTGGCTCGCCCGCATCGATCACACCCAGCCTGGGTACAGACAATCCGGCGCACCGGAACCTTGGAACCCAAGAAGTCAAAGTCTGTAATCGATGGGGAGGGTGCCGGTAGGTGTGTAATCTCAGCAACCCGACTCCAGATGGACCACAACTCATCCTGACGGCCCTGACGTGCCAGATCAGACATGTAGGCGCGGAAGTCCAACCAGTTCGCGGGAGCCAAGGTCGGCAAATTTGTGTGAATGACTGTAGGCTCATCATCCATTCCGACACAGGGATCACTTCCCTGGGAGAAAAGAAATGTTCCAGCTTGCCAGTTTGGCTCTAGCCAAGTCTTAAGCCAAAATGTAGCAAGCCGGTACATTGCATCCTCAAAATGAAACATGCACACCCAAGGCCTGCCTAACTCAATGCATGTGCAGAAAGGAGGGAGGGAGGGAGAGAGAGAGAGAGAGAGCGAGAGCCAGAGCGAGACAGCCAGAGAGAGAGAGAGAGAGAGGGAGAGAGAGTGAGGTCAGAGAACGCAAGAGAGCAAATGCATGCAAAAGGCCTGGCACTTGGCCTGAACTTACGTATGCTTGAGGCTATAGAGACGACCATGAGGCAACCCAGATCTGGTAGAGTTAGAGAGCATGGGGCTTGGGGGCGTCAGGCCCGATACCAAGCCACGTTTGCATCGCAGGGACTCTCTTCGTCCGCGCCGAAGGAAAATTACATCTGCCGGGCTGTTGTGGCCCATGCAGGTGCCAAACATTTGTAAAACCGACTGCCGTGCGTCCAGGGCGTTGATGTCTGATTGCTGGAGCTGGACACTTAACACTTGGGGGCTTGAGTCACGAATCACATATCCCTACGACCCAGCCCCAAGTTCTACCCCCTGTACCGGTCTCGTTCAGTGGAGCTTAGACTCCAGGAGGCGAACTACATCTCCCTAACAACCCGGAAGCCCCATGCCAGCGCTTAGAGAATTTTTCCAGTCACTGGGCATCCCGATCGGGTCGATGCGGAGTGGCGTCGGAGCCCACAGCAATCATGCCATGGAGGCCACCTGGCAATTGGATGTGAAGTTCATGTACTAGTTAATCTACATTAGTTGAATTCATTAAAAGAATTATTCGCAACTTAATGAATTTGGTCAAGGTCGAATTCCCCCCTTTGGCTGGCGAGGTTTGGGTTAGGCTTCGCACGTACACAGGGCTTTGGTTTTCAAAGCTTACAAGGGCGGGCATTCGCAATCGGCAACCACAAGTTAGCTGGAGGCTATATAGAATCTGACGAGAAACGAGTCCTGTCCTGGAGCAGCGAACGTCTCAAAACCACAAAGCTACATAGAACCTCAATGAAAATAATATTCTTAATGGCCTCTTGGGTTTTCTATAAACAAAAGTAAACAAATAACTACCAAGGGGGATATAGATTCGTTGGAAGGTTCCCAAGGCCCGGATCTCCTGTCCAAGTCCTTTTCTCCAGACCGACCTTTCTGCCCCAAAGCGACTCGTGCCTTGCCAGTAATCTTCTCGTAGATCTCCCTGACCTGCACATTCGATGTTTAAGCCTATAAGCTTGAGTGTGGATTTTACGTGCTTGTGTTTCAGAGGATTGGGTTTAGGCGAGAGATGTGCGGATCGGGAAGATCAGGCTGTGGGGTGCCTGAGAGTTTTACGTTTGGGGACGGTTGGTCGGTTCACAACATTTCTTGACTTCGGGCTTTCGCTCAGACCCACCTGAAAGCTTTTACCCGAAACTTAAACCCTTTCCCCTGCGCCTAGAGGGACCCAAGCCCAACAAAAAGCCTGCGTAAGCTCCAGAAATTGGGGATGTTCCCCCTTATGCTAGCAGTCCTTAATGGATTGTAGTACCCCCTGTTCTCATCCCTATCAAGGAGCTGTTCGTATAAGGGTAAACCCTAAACCCTGAGCCCTCAACCCTCAACCCTCAACCCTCAACCCTCAACCCTACACCCTACTACGGCTCAAGTTTTGGCTGAAGCCTCGGATGCAGTAACGTGCCGCAGTATCAGCGACTTTGGGGGACAATGGAGCTCTATGGACCAATGACACGGCTAGGGCAAGGAAGGCTAGCTTGTCGACATGTCATGTCTTCGGTCGTATCTGAAGCTGAATCCCGACGAAACAGCCCTCAAGACCGATGTGCAACCAACTTAGGTGCTCAAACTTAGAACTTAGCAAAATCTACGGGAATGTGAACACATGACGCGTCAGTCAAAAGACTGCAGTGAACACGGGAGTGACACACGCGTGCACACACGCACACACGCACGCCCGCACGCACGCGCGCACGCAGGCACGCACGCCCGCACGCACAAACGGAGAGAGAGAGAGAGAGAGAGAGAGAGAGAGAGAGCAAGATCCCAAGCACACAGCAGTGCAATCACGTAACACAAAACAGGCAAAGCCCCGGGACACAGCGATTTGACTGCACAGGCAAGAAATACGGGAGCGTGACTGCAGAACACTGAAGCCACCCGCTCCCCAACGCTCTAGCCCTATCCAGCCCTGACCCTGGAACCCTAGACTTCACCCAGCTAAACCTTATACACACCTCTTATCCTGCTCCCCACCTCCCTGAACCCGAAACCCTAAACCCTAAACCCCAAACCCTAAACCCTAAACCCCTAAACCCTAAACCCCCTAACCCTGCTTCCCTGAAGCCCCCGAAGGCCTTCATGGCGATCACCGTCTGAAGGAGCCCAGTGCCATTCTGCGAGCCCGGAGAAGACTTCAGGGAGACCATGGCCTGCACTCTCAGGGTTTAGGGTTTAGGGTTTAGGGTTTAGGGTTTAGGGTTTAGGGCACTAATAGGAGTTCTCAACTTGAGTTGTGGCATCACAAACGCAGTCTCTGAGACAAGGCTCTGCCGTGACGCACAATCAACTTGGGATAGACAGACTTTTCGATGCCCGGGTCGAGGCACAGGCCACGGAAGACCCCTACTCAGGAAGGCTCTGCCCCCCCGTCTCCAAAACTTGCCTGAATCCGGAGCCCGAACGTCACAAACTCTTTCTCTATTCTTCCCTCCAAACCCTAAACCCTAAACCCTAAACCCTAAACCCTAAACCCTAAACCCTGAACCCCAAACCCTAAAAAGCATCCGCCTCTGTGAGCTCCTTGTCCGACTTCGAAGGCAGGCCCTCGATGTTGGCCTCGATCTCCTGCCCAATGCACTTTGAATATGGGTTTTAGGGTTTAGGGTTTTAGGGTTTTTAGGGTTTAGGGTTTTAGGGTTTTAGGGTTTAGGGTTTTAGGGTTTTAGGGTTTAGGGTTTTAGGGTTTTAGGGTTTAGGGTTTAGGGTTTAGGGTTTTTCACTATAAGAATCCCCACAAGATTACCCCCCCCATATTAGGCAAGTTGCCTTCGCAAGGGTCAGGGCTGCAGGCCTCATGGCACAAACTTTTTAGACTCCTTAAAAAACGACAAGAACAATCGCAAACCTCTGAACACCACTGCAGCCGATGCCGGCAGATGGTTTGCTGCCTCTTTGCATCAACTCAACACATGCCTCAGAGTGCCGAATGGTTTTGGGCTCAAGGTTGTAAGCTTGTATCGTGCGATGTTGAGGCCCAAGCTGATTTCAGACTAATGTTCAGTACGCTTCAGCAGTGCCTGTTCAGCAGATGCGAATGTGAAATACTGCGGCGTGTTAGATTAGTACTTTCGCTGAGGAAGCTCCTCACTGAGCTTCGTTTCCTTTGCTAGATATCTAGCCCATCGCCTTTGCATGTGCAAGTGCAGGGTGGGTTGTCAAGTAAACAGACCGGCAGCCTAAGCAGAATACTTGAGGGAGACGGGCACGCACATACCGTCTGGCGAGCACAGTTTCCAGAAGTCTTTCTTGAATTCCAACTCCATCCTGAAAACAAACTTGGCTACACTCAGAAGGGTAGCTAAAAATTAAAATTTTAGCTGCCTTATTAAGAAACCCAATAAACCCAAAAAGGCTAAGGATCTAAAGTTACAGTAAAGTACCACAAAGGAAAAGCCGGCATCCTTGAGCTGCTCTTCCATGTTGTCCATGTCGATCTCGCCGTCCATCTCAACGACTGTGACAGGACTGCCGAACCTTTCACCACAGCAAAGGGTGAAAGACCCTATAGACCCTCAACCCCAAACCCCAAACCCTAAACAATAATCCCTAAGCCCTAAATGGAAGGGCTCTCAGATTCTACACCCCAAGCCCCAAGTCACGGACCAAGGTCCCTTCTACATGGGAGTTTACGAAAATCAGGGACCCCGAAAAATTCACCCAAACAGCAGGATTCCCTCATAATAAGGACCCTGATAAGGTCCCCCCTGTTTTCGGAAACCCCGAAATGCTGAGTCCGTCTCTCTCTCTGAGGACTGATGCTCTACGCTACACAAGCGAGGCACCAGTCGTCGTCGTACATCTTCAGCTCAGCGCCAGGCCTTGCCACATGGGCTTCTTCTACTGTTTGCTTAAGCACCCCAAAAGAATAACAAGTAGTAATCCCTATACTAACCTTAACAAGGAAAAATCGTTTTCCTGGGTTCCTAAGCAATTGGTAGGTAGTCTTAGGCTCCGCAAGATGTAGAGGGGGAAAATGAGTTTTGGTCTGCTTGAACAAACCTGGGGCTTGGAATCTCGAACCAACAGCACCGAAGCTAGAAGGCCCGAGCGTGTGTGTTTAGGACTTCTCGACTTAAGAACTTGCAGACTTACACATCCCTTAAGACCGAGCCTTGCGGCCAAAAACTGAACAGCCATCGCCCTAAACCTATACGAATCCTCACCATGGGACAAACATACATATAGGAAAAGTTCGGCTTCGCACTGCAAGCGGAATGCAATACAGCTTTCTGACATGTTGATTTAGGGTTTAGGGTTTAGGGTGCAGGGTTGAGGGTTGAGGGTTTAGCTTGCATGCTCCTGGCTTGATGCGAGCGCCCGGCTCGCTTCCAGACAGGCTGAGGTCCTGGTCAGGGAAGCCTCAGGAAAGAGCCTCATTTGGGGGGGGGGGGGGGCTTAAAATTTGGACCGGGTTTTGGGGGTTCTTACAAAACTTTACTTTTGTATAGCTGTATAGGGACCAGAAGGGAATACCACTAGTGATTTTTTTCGACCCCTATCTTGCCCTGCTCAAGCCCCGGAGCCCCTGAAGCCAACTCTACCACTTCCTTGGGCCAAAAAGTTCCGGGATCCGAACCTGATCTACAAAGGACGCGGCAGGGGCGCCAGACAGTAAGACATCAAGGGATGGGGCTTGGGGGGGACCTTTGGGAGTTGAGGGGGGGACAAGTTGTGAGAGCGGCTGGGCTGAGGGCTGGGGGTCGAGATTGCTTCAGGGGTTTCTGGCTTCGGGTGCAGCCTGGTTTAGGGTTTAGGGTTTAGGGTTTAGAGTTTAGGGAGCGGTTGTTCTATGTAAAATATGTGGCATGTGACACTCGCGGGTTCAGAAATACCGGGAGGTTTAAATCAGCACCTGTTCGGAGCCATCCTGAGATGCTCAGGGCTCCATTTAGGGTTTAGGGTTTAGGGAGTCAAGCCAACACCCAAAGCCAAGGCACATCGTGCTCCCGCCAGGAATCCCGCAGATTTTGCCAACACAACGGCAACAGTTCCTGAAGTCTCCACGGTTAAACCCGAAACATGGGCCAAAACCCCCCTGTCCTTCTTCAAGGTGATCATGGGGAACTTGCCATCCTTCCATCACAAGAGTTGCCCAAGCCCCGGGCCCTTGACAGCTAGGAGCATACTTTCTAGACTTGTTCGTGTACTGAATCCCCAAAAAAACCCACCACCACCACCACCACCCACCCCAAACTCCGGTGTTTGGCAGGATCTATGAATTTCAAGATTCGGGATTTGATAATCCAACGGGTTCCGGTTGTCTAGACTTCCAGGCAGGGCTCACTAGCAGGAGGGTCAAAGGGAGGCTAAAGGCCGCCAGCTCTGCAGCATTTTGGAGTTACAGCTTCAACAAAAGCGAAGGCTTAATCGTCGTGACACATCGGGTTGCATGGACTTCCCGAATTCCATGCGCAGTATCCGTACAGCTCATTTGCTCGTTGATGCTGATGAGTGTGCTGCAAAATCTCAGAGCATTCCCAACCGAATTCCTGGCGCAGCCCGTCCGTCCTTCTTCTGGATCAGCTTCACCTACCCGCACCATGTGGAGGAATGGTCTTCAAGCTAAGGCTGCCGCGTTTGGAAGGTTTAGGTTCCGGGGAACCCTAAACCCTAAACCCTAAACCCTAAACCCTAAACCCTAAACCCTAAACCCTAAACCCTAAACCCTAAACCCTAAACCCTAAACCGTGTCGATACGTTGTGCAAGGACGCATGCGTGTGGAGAGAGCCATGTTGGGCCTGCTCTATGGGCTACCAGCTGTACCCGAAGAGCCCAATACCCCTTAGTTAAGGAATATTCCTTGAATCATAATAAGGATCCCTTGAAAATTTAAGCTATGTTCCTTAATTAAGGGGTATTGGGCTCTCTGGGTAACTCCTCACTCTCCGAGGGTCTTCACTCTTCACCTTCTAGTTTCCAGACAGCCACAGGCACCTTGAGGAATGGGAGGCCCTTGTCCGAGGGCTCGTATCCTGATCGCAGTGAGGAGGCATGAACCGATGCCCGCATGTACAGCTTGATGAGTGCAATCCTTGACTTCTTGCGCCGAAAGTTATGATAGGTTACAGGAGATGTGGAAAGTTCGGGTTTTGGGAGATTGAGAATTTTCCATCCGCGAGTTTTCTATCGAAACGGCGCTGAAGTTGCTAAAGCATGCAAAGCGCACTCAGCTAGATGTCATCGCTTGGATCCTTAAACGCCCTAGAAAAATATAGAGCCCTGAAGGCCTGGCTCTCAAGGCATCTTGGCAGAGTATTCTGCGGCTTCTGCGACGTCAGCGACTTGGGCCACGTGGATTAAAAGGCTGGGCACCGTTCACCCTGAGCGCCACCTCACCCCTAAACCCTAAACCCTAAACCCTAAACACTAAACCCTAAACCCTAAACCCTAAACCCTAAACCCTACCATGCTTAAGTCCACAAACCGAAGCTCGAAATGCAAGAATACCAGGATCCCCGGCGGAGGACGACGTCGGCGTTGGCCTCTGCAGACTGGTTGTCTGACCCTGGGTTGTAGGTGCCTTCAGACTTGGGAGATTTTGGAGGTCTAACCCGCCGAAAGCCTCAACTTCACTCGACTCCCCTAAAACCTCTGAGCCCTCACAGCAAGGCCCTGAAAACCCTGAGAACTCAGTCCCTTCCACCTTCTGTGGGTCCACGTACTTGGAGAAATCAGGAAGGCGCTTGTCGATGTCCTCCCGCACCTGCAACATCTCCAAACTACTGTTTGCCTAAGAACCCCAAAAGAACAAAAATAAAAAATATCCCTATATGAACCTTAATAAGGAAGAATAGTATATAGTTCTTCTGGTTTCTTAAGCAATTAGTAGCAACGTCTGCAGGTTTGGGAGCCTCTGGGTTGGCTGCAGGTACAAAGGGGTTGAGGATTTTTTGGAGGGCTTCGGGCTCGGATTCTGGGTAGGTTTGGATGGGGCTGAGGTGTCAGTATATGGCCGCTGGGATGCAAGATTCTCCAAAAAGTCCAACAGCCCTAAACCCTAAACCCTAAACCCTAAACCCTAAACCCTAAACCCCTAAACCCCTAAACCCCAAAACCCTAAAGCCTAAACCCCAGAAGGAGCCACTCCTGCTCCTCTGTCCAGCCACGCTCCGCCACGTCGCGCTGCACCTTCCACGCGAACTTGACATCATTCCTCGGAAAGAGAAAGCGTTTAGGGTTTAGGGTTTAGGGTTTCGGGTTTCGGGTTTAGGGTTTAGGGTTTAGGGCTAAGGGTTTAGCGTTTAGGGTTCAGGGACAATGCTTGGTATTTCATGGGGAGGGCATCCTGCTTAGTTTTTTAAATGAAGGGTCCAAAATATCTACTTCTTCTTAGATAACTTCAGGCAAAGGAAGACTCAAATCAACATCCGCGTGAGAAGAAGCACTTTGACACTGACGTCGGAAGTCTTGTCCCCGTGGCGTTCCAGTCCGTCTTTTGCAAACTGCATCAAACTCGCGCATGAGCCCAGAAGGCCTCTGCGAAGAGACTCCAAGGGACAAACTCACTCCATCCCGACCCCACCCCAAGAAAAGGAAAAAACCCTTAAGCTTCACATTCACTCACAGCTTCCACGATTTGAGGGACGCTGAGAGATACTTCGCCGCGTGATATGCCATCAGACCTTCTTTAGAGAGATTCCAACCAACACCAACTGGACATAGCTTGCAAGAAGAAGCCTTACCTCACCCATCTGGAATCTGAATTGTCGGTTCAGGGTGCATGGTCAAGCGGAGTCCAGGGTTTGGGCTTCGGGGCTGAGCTCAACATCAAAGGATGGAGTGTGTACATGCACTGACAGAGGTACAGAGGACTAGTATAGGGTTCAGAACAATTACTAATCGTATTCCCTTATGGCCCAATTATATTTAAAATGTACGACAATAACCCCCCCAAACCCTATGCGAATTATTCAGGCCCCTATATTAGATGCTCCAGCTTTGGGCTTGCACAGCTCGAGAAGCTAAAGCTGTTGGGGCTGACAGGATGGGAGTTCGAATTTGGTGTGGGATTTCCAGCGCGCCTCGCTCTAAAACTCGAAACCCGTGCCAAGCTAACACAAGCCCAGCGGCACGATGTCGATGTAGATCGCCAAATCGAGCTGCGATCGGGCCTTTTGCGCAAATCTCCCAGGTGTTGGGAGTGAAGGATTCACGTTTGACACACAGAAGGCTCCGTGTAAATGCTGCATGTTGACGATCACAGGGAAGTTCTCTCTGACGCCTCTAGACTGAAAAAACTGCTAACCCCAAAGCTTTTACAGCCCTCTTTGGGAGCTTTCGAACTTAACAGCTTATCCGTCTAACAAATTACGACCCTCAGCCGAAGCTCACAGCCATCCTCAAGGCCCCTCTCCAAAAACCCTAAACCCTAAACCCTATAAACCCTAAACCCTAAACCCTCAACCCTAAACCACGCCGCCTTCTCATCGTAGATGGGGTGCAAGCCCTCGAACACCATGATCTTGTTTGGCTCGATGAGCTCGGGAGGGTCCTGCGAGGGGGCGGTTTTCATATGGGGGTTTACGAAAATAGGGGACCCCCAAAAAATAGACCCCAAATAGTCCATATCCCATCCAGCTGGACTAGAAAAGGTGATTTATGGCCAGGGCTTGATCTGCCTTGGCGTGCTGCCTGTCTCTTTCAACTGCATCTTGCATTTAGTGCAAGGACGAGAGTGGCTGCTCCAGGACGCCACGTTGGAAAACGGATAAGTTTCGGGTCAAGCTGTTGCATGTAGTGTTTCTGATGTCTTTTGCAGCAACCAGCCAATGTTGGGGTTTGGGCAGGGGAACATTCCATTAGATTACCTTTAAGACTTTTCAATCTGAGCTGCAAAGACTTGTTGAGCCAAGAGAATAGCTGAATAACTGTACTGGCCGCCCCGCAAGGCTGGAGCGCTTGTGCGAGGAAGCTTGACACCAGTCACCATGCTGTGCTGAGAGAAGTGTTGGGTATTTCTTGCCTTTCCCTTGCCTTGGGGAAGGGGGACACAGCAGAATCATGCATGATCTCGCGTTCACACGAGGTTAAGCATGCGGGTAGCGATTCATATTGCTACAGTTCGGGCCCCGAGCCTTGTGCCTCACATTGTCGTTTGAGGCCTGGACTGCGTTTAAAGCCGCTTTCCTCTGCAAAAGGGGCAAACTGGATGAATGATGAGGCAACAACCAGGACTCTGCGTCCCGCCTTGAGACTTTGCACAATATGAGCCATCCATGACCTTGCTGCATGAGGGGGCTGCCAGGACTCAGCTAAGCGTGCATGCTTGACATGCTGGAAAAATCCAGCTCTGTTGCCGGCAGCCTTGCAGATCGAAAGTGAGTGGTTTCAGGAGCAATGAACATTTCTGCGTTGTGCCTGGGCGGCAGGACAAAACTGTGAGGCGCAGACCTTTCTTTGCAGCATCTACTGTATGAATGTGCTGGGATCACAATTCGACCAGCCAGGGTAAGGGAGGCTCCACGCCACGACGAATCTCGTCGAGCTGCAGTTCTTGGGACGCGCTGTGTACACACGCTGACAGGTTGACGTTTTGGACAAGACGGATATGTAGTTGTCCAGCAAACTTCTTTTCAAAAGGTCGCACATGCGTGGCGCGGTACCGTCACCTGCTTTCTGCCTCCCTCGCCTGCCTCATATGCTTCTCTTTGAACCAGTGCACAGTAGCTGGTTTCTGCCACGTGGCCCACTCGCCTGCCAGGTCCCCACTTGGCCGAGCTGCATCATTTTTCTTGTCTACCGTAGAGTCACCGCAGAGCACATGGGGGGCCTGATCGCTACTAGGTCTGCACCTGGACAAAACATGGATTCTCGCCGAACTGCATTCGTAGGGGTACCCATTAAACACAGAGAGTGTCTCATTGCTCTCCAGGAACACTGTAATGAAACCTGTCCATACCAGAAATCAAGGAATCGCCAGCGGCGTTTGCCAACTTCCCTAGCCCAGCGTAACAACACAACAAGGCCACTGGCTCGTCTCCCTTTAGAACCTGAATTGAAAAGATGTTGTTTGTATTCCCTAACTATAAAAAAAGGGGGCTATAACAAGGCGCTCGACTCGACTGCACTGGTGGCATCGTGCTGGCTCCTTGTTTCCAGTGTCGTGGTTGTAGATTGGCTTGTAGACAGCCTTGCCTCACATGGCTGTGATTTGCGACTCATTGGTTTTGAGGGCTGCGCGCACTGTTACATGAGAAAGGCCGAACTTGTTTCGCAATTGCAGGGAACTTGAGATGCCTGTTTTCGGGCTTAGGGTTCAGAGCTTCAGCAGCATGGCGCTACAGTATAAAGAATACAAAGCCTCTAGCAAACCAATCGCCAGCTAGGACATGCAGGCGATGTGCAGCCATCCAGCATGATTCTGCAAAAAGCCGAACCTTAGAAACCCAACAATCCAGACACCAGGACTTTGAATTTTTCAGACCCGAAGGTTTGGGGTTTGGGTGGAGGGCTGCTGCAGCCAAGGGGGCCGGTCTTCAGGGCCTCCATCTGCACGCCCATGAGGTCAAAGTCGTTCCTGCCATCGCTGGAGTTCGGCAATTGGAACTCAGGATTCTGCAAGAAAACATATGTAATTGTATAAGGGTTTACGAAACTGAGGGGAAACAGTAGGATCCCCTCATAATAAGGACCCCAATAAAGGTACCCCCTAATTTCGAAGAAACCCCCGGTACATCCAGCACATACGACTTGGGCTTTGCAGTGGGTCAGTCTCGGCATGACCCATGGGCTATTTTTATTTTGTGTATATTATAATAATATTAAAATGGATATTAGTTTTGTATATAGAATAATATATATTACTATGGATATTAAAGAATATTATTATCTGTTAAACTATCCTTATAGCAACTTATTATGTTGTGTTTATAGGACTAGTACACCTCTTTGAGCCCTCCCACTCCCCTCGACACTCCATGTCTTCACTGGGGTAGGTTTGGGGCCCTATAAAAATTGAGTTTTTAATGGTTGTATAAGGATTAAAGAGGATTCAGGGAAATGAGAATTTAAAGTCATGTTCAAACCTACCTCTACTTAGATCTATATCTTGTGATTCCGCACTTTGCGACACACGAGCTCAAGCTCGTTTCTTGAGGACTAAGGACTCCAAGAAAGGAGAGAACAGAACCGTATCTTTCACATCCCTGATGGGCCCCCTGTTTCCAGTTTCCATGGCTCAGGGGAGCTACTTATTTGTTAAACCCTAAACCCTAAACCCTAAACCCGCATCAACAAGGCTCCAAGAACTTGCCAAGCTTCTCCCGTGCATCCAGCGCCGTAAGCCCTGTCGCCTCGTGTGGCGCAGGGTATGTGACTGAGGGCCCTACCCTAAGGGTCCATGTACCCATATAGTACATATTTGGGCCCTAAAGCTACTGCATAGGAACCCCTTTAAGGCCCAAGTATATACTATATGGGTACATGGACCCTTTGGGCTAGATTTGTCTTTGGAACATCATCAGAGCCAGACTTCAGATCAGAGCAAAGTCCGATTCATGCCGTTTACGCGAGCCGTCATGTCAGAAGCTTCGATACCTCTACCCTAAACCCTAAACCCTAAACCCTAATGGACTTAGGCAAGCGAAGGCCCTACTTTGCAGCGCGTTGCGGAGAGACTTGGTACGTGAGAGAAGTTCTGTACCGGCCCTCCGTACCAACTGGGAGTTAGCTTGCTTGCAGCTGCTTGCAGTCCTATCAAGAGTTCCGGCTTTAAGCTTCTGACGGTTGGGGGCAAGTTGGGGGTTATACCAGTAAGATGCACGAAGATTCGGTTCAGGGTAGTTCCGCCGCCTTGCGGCCAGCGCGGTCGTTCGTGTGGTAGTCGTCCAAGCAGATCACCTGGGTCCACTGTCGCGCGGCAACAGGCAACTGGAGACATCTGGAAACCATTCTACAAACCCTAAACCCTAAACCCTAAACCCTGAACCCTAAACCCTAAACCCTAAACCCTAAACCCTGCGGGTGCTTCGCATCACGGCGAGCTTGATCCTGCTGAACCCTTCAGCCTTTTGACCAAATCTTACGTCCGAACTGCCAGCTCAAAGCATCGACTCAACATCCTTCAGGCCAAGCAACACTTAAACAAACAACCCTACCATGGGCTTTCGGAGCTCAAGAGCCAGATGCCACTCCCTGAATACTCCCGGTGCAAAACAGACTGCTGCATGAAAGCAAATGGTTGGAGGGCTGCAAAGGACCTTCTGTAACCCGAAACCCTAAACTCTAAACCCTACAACCTAAACCCGAAAACCTAATTATGAACCCTAAACCCTAAACCCTAAACCCTGCATCCTGCATTCCTGAGCCAGTTGCAGTCATCATCTCGCCGATGGCCGTGTGCCTCGGTCTTGAGAGAGCTACCGAAGCTTCGGGGTGTGAGGGGTTGGGATGTTCCCCCTTTTATACTAGCAGTCCTTAAGAGGGAATATAGTACCCCCCTATTATCATCCCTATTAAGGACTGCTAGTATAAAGGGGGAACATCCAAAGTACGGGGCTTTACAGTAGGAATCAGAGGCGGAAGACGTGCTTGGGCTCAGGACCCCTGTAGCCATAAACCCTAAACCCTAAACCCTAAACCCTAAACCCTAAACCCTAAACCCTAAACCCTAAACCCTAAACCCTAAACCCTAAACCCTAAATCCTAAACTAACCCCTAAACCCTAAACCCTAAATCCTAAACTAAACCCTAAACCCTAAACCCTAAACCCTAAACCCTAAACCCTATACCCCAAACCCTGGCGTTTTGGTTTCCACCGGCCAACTGGAGCAGTCTTGAGTCAGTGTCGACCGCTTCGAGAAAGTGCTGCGAAAAATGCGACCACAAATGGGGGTTTAGGAACATAAGGGACCCCCAATAAACGACCCGCCAAGTAGCAGGATTCCCTTGTAATGAGGACCCGAATAAGGTACCCCGACTTTCGGACCCCCAAGTAGCACTGACTTGGTTGCCCAGCTGTAGGCTTGAAACCATGTTTCGTTTGCCCCGGGCCGAAGTGGTTCTGGTACGTCAGTCATTGGTGTCGACAGTCAGCACGCTGAGGGACACTCTCAACATACAAGGACCAAACAGAGATGTAGACCAACCAAGAATAAGATGAAGTTTGCAAGCCACACTACCCCCAACTACCCCCGTGCAGTGTGCTGTTCAAAAGAACCCTCAAGCCCAAACACGGAAGCTGAACAAACAAACCCTAAGGGTCCATGCACCCTAAACCCTAAACCCTAAACCCTAAACCCTAAACTTCTTGGTTGGGATCTGCAAGGAAGCTTGCGCAGCGCTCCCTTTTTGCCTCTGCATCTCTGCGGCCCATTGCACCTGAGTAGCATCTGGTCTCCCAGCACATTCAGGGTTTAGGGTTTAAGGTTTAGGGTTTAGGTCTCCCAGCACAGACAAGGGTTAGGGTTTAAGGTTTCGGGTTTCGGGTTTCGGGTTTCGGGTTTCGGTTAGATTCGGGAGAACTGGTGAGGGCTCTGTGCTTGGGATTTGACCATTTAGCGATGATGAGGTACTGGCACGATGGGATCTGCTGGAGATTCACAAAAGTGCGCAATGCAACACACTTGGGGCGATAGTGTCTGCCAACACCTTCTCAGGGCATAAAGGCTCTCGCTTGCTTCAGGATTCGGGGATCGAGGGCTTCGTGTTCAGGGAAACCAGATTGAGGAGTTCACCCTTGCTCATGTGGTTGATGCTTGTATAAGTATGGTAAGGACACAACCACGGAGGCTTTAACTTTCAACATCTCATGCTTCAAAGCTTGTCTTCATTTTTTATCGCTCACATGCAGCAATGCAAGCAACAGCCTCATAACGTCTTGCGAGCCCTTGAAAGGCATCATGCTGGACAATGTACCATTTAGTGAGTTATTTTCTTTACATGTTACAAGTATAGGGATCTCTTCTCATGAAATTATATAGATTGCAGATCTGAAACAGCCTCATTTGTTCCCGGCTGTGGCTTTGTGAATTAATACTAGTGAACCTTGTTTAGGTAGCCTCATTTATGCGACTAGGGGTCATGTCTATTAGAGTCTATCACATAAAGTGCTTCGAGTTCCACGGTACTTGCGAAGGTGTCTAAAAGCCTCTGTCCTTAGTCTTTTGCCACGTCTTACATCGCTCTTCTGTGGAATTGTGGCTGCATGGCTACACTCGAGCCATTCCCCACCTAGCATGTACTAAAGTCACTAAGAAGCCACCACAAGGCCAAAATCCGCACGCAGAAGCTAACCACAAGAATTGCTTGAACACCAGTCTCAGGTACGTCCTGCAGAAGGCATGCAAGGTCTGTGTAGCCACCGTTTGCCGCAGCACCCTCCTTGCATCGTAGGGCTTAGGGGCTTAGGGTGTTAAAGCTTCAAGGCTTGTAGGTTTCAGCAAACGGCTCTGGTTTTTGCCCTTCTTCTACCGCGAGCCCCCCCCCCCCCCCCCCACACTCCTTTGAATCACTAGACTTCCAAGTGGTGAATTCTCAGCTTGAAATCATATTGGGGCAAGTTCAACCCGACGCCCAACACTTGCAGGGCAAGGCTTTCGTTCCAGGGACTAACTGACTTATTCAGTGAGTGTGAATGAGGGATGTGGGTTTACGAACCGAAAGTCAGGGACTGTTCTGAAAACAAAGCGCTGTTTACCTCCCACACCATCCTATGACACAGTTTGATGCCTTATAACACAACTACAGTTACTTCAGTCAGAGCTACCGAGATTAAGATCCAGAAAATTCCACAACCCCAGAAAGTCGAAATCCCACATGCCCACGACCCCAGAACACCTCAACGGGAATACCTAAGCTGCCTTGGGGTTTTGAGAGTTCAGAGTTCGAGGGGTAACTGACAATGTGGATTCCCTAGGATGCAACAAACTGCTCCCATGCCCAAAACTCGATGTGCCACGGAGCCCACAAAACGATGATGCGCAGGCAAGGTGGAAACGAGGTTGCAAAGAACCGTTCACGATCTGGATGGAACCTCAACCGGTCTCGATCTAGAAATGCTCTCGCAGCCCTGGGTCCGCCGTCGTACCACTCTTGGCTGTGATCTCTGTGGCCGCCCGTGCCTTTTGGGTGTCTTCAGGGGGGGGAGCGCCGGGAAGTTTGGCTGTTTCTTCGAATTTCCAGCATGGGCTGCAAAGCTTAGGGCTTCCGCTAGCAAAGATGGCCCGGACAAAAGCCTAACGTCGTGGTAAAGATGTGATGTTCCTAGGGCACCCAAACAGCGCTGATTTAGCTCTTTCCGGGCTCGATTTCTGCAGGCCTCCAAGAGCACTCGCACGACCTCCACCTTCAAGGGACATTGAGATGTGAAGGCCAAAGGCTGTGAATCTGCTTTGTTGTTGACTTAGTGCTTTAGGTTACCGGGTCACCCTGCTGCATGCCCAGGACACTCTCGAAAACCAAAGAATGATATCTCCAACATTCGAACACCCGACTGAAAACTCTTGAGCCTGGACGTCCTCAATTGCACTGTGCCTAGAATCCCACGCCTCGCCGCGTGCTGCAGCCCAGTAGAGAGCAGTGCATCCATCGACATCCTGGCGTTAGACAGGAAGAGGCTCATTTCTGGATGTTGGGACGCGTCACAGCCTTGTGACGAGGGTTCTTGTTGCTTACTCTGTGCTTTATGTTGTGGGCGGAGAGGGTGTGGCCTGGGAATGTTGGCTGGCTGGCTTCTCCTTACCTCGATCCTTCCTTTCGCTTTAGAGATGTTTGCGTCTTCTTTCAACCTGCCACAACCCTAAACCCTAAACCCTAAACCCTAAACCCTAAACCCTGAACCCAAAACCCAAAACCCTAATGTCTTGCTTCTCTATTCTTTACGATTCTTTACCACGGGGGCCTCTGCTCGAGTCAGGTCTTGCCGGCCTCGCTGCCCACCAAGAACCAAGGCGACCAAAGTCTCACGAAACACAATCTCTCTCGGCCGAGAATTGAAGATCCGCTCATGGAGAGATGAACGTGGGGGTTTAGGGTTTAGGGTTTAGGGTTTCGGGTTTAGGGTTTCAGGTTTACGGTGTAGACTGCAGAGCTTAGAGTTTCGGTTCAGGATCTGAGTCGGATGCTGCCGACAGAAGCTTGTCAAAACTTTGCGCAGCTCAGTCCTGGCGATCCAAGAATGCCCTCTTGGCCTCAGACACGTGTTCCGTCTTGCCCACACCCCCAAAAGCTCTTAGTTGATCTGGACCCCTGTAGCCATGTGACAGTCACAATGCCTAGCTCCACAACGCCTAGCTAAGTTTGACCTTCTTATGAAGTACATAATATGTAGCTCACGAATTCGATGCAGCCGCCGACTCTCGCAAGTCCTGCAACCAAGGACATCCGCACAGCAGTTTCTAATGCGCAAGGCTTGAGGGGTCCAAGGGGCTGATTCGGCCTTGCTTCGGTCTTATTATAACTCTTTAAGAGACAAATGCTGCCCCACAGGACCGATTGAGCATGTCAGCGCGAGTGACGACGAGCAGGCGCACAACTTCCAGCTGGCCGTTGGCGGAGGCCACCAGTAGCGCCGAAGACCCTGAACAGCTGCAGTCTTTATCCAAGTCATGCTGAGGGAGAAGGTTTTGTCTGCTTCTGGGGCGCGCCTATGTTTCACATCATGTCACATCAATGACAACATGAATGCGAAGACTTGTCGCCAATCAAGACACACTACCTTGCAACGATGTGCCCACCGGTACCCACGGCAGTCGTTCAAAGATTCAAAGAAGAGAAACCGTCGTTTTGATGTGTTCTGTACTTCGCTGGCGCATTGAACTCACTTGTCGTTGTGCAAAGCTCAACTACGCAAAACCGAATTGCTGCTAGCGTGTCTTTGAAGCAGTCCTTGGTCCTCTAATCCTAATGTACTGGTGTATTGAGTACAGAGGAAAAGAGGCGGGTCAGGTGCAAAGCACCCCTAGCAACGATAAAATTCTGGAGCTAAGGCATTAGCAACAGTCGGCAAGGTATAGCTCGAACAGCATTCGGGCCACAGTAGAGTATGAGGGCAAGTGTGGCGACGATGCGAGCAGTGGTCTTGCAAGGCTGCGGCAAATTCTATTCGCACTCCAATGTCACTTTGGCACTTTGGGAGGCGAAACCCACCACACCTTCCACCACCCTCCCCCACCACCCTCCCCCACCACCCTCCCCCACCACCCTCCCCCACCACCCTCCCCCACCACCCTCCCCCACCACCCTCTCCCACCACCCTCTCCCACCACCCTCCCCCAGCCTCCTAAATCTGTGCCTTCTTACATGGCCAATATATATATATATATATAATATATATATGGTCCCCCCCCCCCCCCCCCCTACGACAGACCCCGGAATTGTATTTCCAGCCTGTCCAGGAAGGGGGTGGAAGACCAACACTCCAAAATTCCTCGAGTTTCCAAAAATCCCAAATCCAAAAATTCCAACCCAAGTTTCGGATTTTTGGAAACTCGAGCGGGAGCCTCAAAATCCGAAAACCCAAAATTCCTCGAGTTTCCAAAAATCCAAAATTCCAACAATTCCAACCCAAGTTTCGGATTTTTGGAAACTCGAGCGGGAGCCCCAAAATCCAAAAATCCAAAATTCCTCGAGTTTCCAAAATTCCGAAAACCCAAAAATCCCAACCCAAGTTTCGGATTTTTGGAAACTCGAGCGGGAGCCTCAAAATCCAAAAATCCAAAATTCCTCGAGTTTCCAAAAATCCAAACCTTGGGGTGGAATTTTTAGATTTTTGGATCTTCGGAAACTCGAGCGGGAGCTCGATTCTTGGATTTTGAGGCTCCCGCTCGAGTTTCCAAAAATCCAAACCTTGGGGTGGGTTTTTTGGAGTCCAAAATTCCTCGAGCTTCCAAAAATCCAAAAATCAAAAAACTCCAACCCAAGTTTCGGATTTTTGGAAACTCGAGCGGGAGCCTCAAAATCCAAAATTCGTGCTCACCTTGGGGTGGATTTTTTGGACTTTTGGATTGTTGGAAACTCGAGGAATTTTGGATTTTTGGATTTTGAGGCTCCCGCTCGAGTTTCCCAAAATCCGAAACTTGGGTTGGAATTTTTGGATTTTTGGATTTTTGGAAACTCGAGGAATTTTGGATTTTTGGATTTTGGGGCTCCCGCTCGAGTTTCCAAAAATCCGAAACTTGGGTTGGGTTTTTTGGGTTTTTGGAATTTTGGAAACTGGGGTTTTGGTAAGATTTTTTTCTGGGGTTCTACACGGTTTAGGGTTTAGGGGTTAGTGTTTGGGGTTTAGGGTTTAGGGTTTAGGGTTTAGGGATTTTTCTCAGATTCCTTCTCATGTTAACAGGACTCCTATGAATTATGACCGGTTCTTTTCAATTCGTTATGGGTTCCTATTCATTTTCATAGGCTTCCTATTTACTTTTATCGGTTCCGAATTTTTTTGATAGCATTCCTATAAATTCATAGAGGATTCCTATAATTTATTTTCATAGGATTCCAATAAAGTTTCATAGGGTTCCTAATTATTCTAATAAGGCTCCTACTAGTGTAATAGGATTCCCATCAATCTTAGGGTTCTTATTCATGTTAATGGCATTCGTATTAATGTTAATAGAGGTCTCATTCGTTTGAAAGGAATTCCTATTGGTTTAGGCTCATATTCATTTAGTAGGGTTCCTATTAGTTCTTGTGTTTGCGAATCTTATTTTTCATAGGAGTCCTATTAGTTCCTCTTAATCTTCACCGCGTTCTTTTGATTTCTTAAGGGTTCCTATTCATTTTAATAGGCTTCCTATTCGCTTATCCGATAAATTTCGGCAGGATTCCGAAAGATTCCTACTTATTTTCATAGGATTCCAGTAAAGTTTCATATGGATCCGAATTATTTTGATAAAGCTCCTACTAATGCAATAAGATTCATATCAATTTCAGAGCTCTTACTCATATTGGATTCGTATTAGTTTTAATAGGGATCTCATTCATTTGAAAGGGATTCCTATTGGTTTAGGCTCATATTAATTTTAGTAGGATTCCTATTGGTTAAGGGTTCACAATTTTATAAGAATCCCGTTGGTTCCTATTAATTTTAGTAGGGTCCTTTTCAGGTTATTAGGATTCCTATCAATTATAATGAGGTTCTCATTAACTTCAATAGGCATAGGCTTCCTATTATTTTTTATACAGTTCCGATTGATTTTAATAGGGTTCCTATGGATTTAAGTAGAGGATTCCTATTTCTGTTTGTAAGATTCCAATAAATTTTCATAGTTTGCCTATAAGGCTCCTACAAATGTAATATGATTCCTATCAACTTTAAATAGGGTTCTGTCATTTGAATAGGGTTTCCGTTGAATTTAATAGTGTTAAGGGTCTCATTCATTTTAAAGGGTTTCCTCTTCATTTCATAAGATTCCTATTATATTAATCAAAAAAACACATATGCATGTAAATATATTGTTTGTAAGCGTGTCTGGCTACTGTGTGCAGCTATGCTGTCCGTCGCGCCCTCAGCCTTTTGCCTTTTTTGCGCTTCCGGGCTTGCCGTGTCTTCTCGAAAGACGTCAACCCATATATCAACCCAGCAACCCCTTAAACTTACACCCAACCTTCCCCCAAAACCCCGAAAACGGATAAAAACGACATCAGGCCAAAGAAGCCGGCGGAATTGCACGCTTCGAGGTCCGCGCCGGCCTGCGTGTCTGACAGTGACAGGTTTCAAGTCCACACTTGATCCCTAAACTTGTCTTCCGAGGCCTTGACAAGACTTTGGGCGTTCAAAACCCAGCCGAAGCTCCTAAACACCGCTTGGGGCCGCGGGCGTGGCACCGTCGGGACTCCTGAGACCCTAGCGAAGCCCTAAAGCCCTAAAGCCCTAAAGCCCTAAAGCCCTAAGCCCTAAAGCCCTAAAGCCCTAAAGCCCTAAAGCCCTAAAGCCCTAAAGCCCTAAAGCCCTAAAGCCCTAAAGCCCTAAAGCCCTAAAGCCCTAAAGCCCTAAAGCCCTAAAGCCCTAAAGCCCTAAACCCCTAAACCCCCCCAAAACGCCCAGAAGTCCCACCTCCAGAAGGGCACGCGCCATGGTCGGGTCTCCTCGACGAGCTGCTTGGATCAGGGGTGTCTCCTGCTGGCCGCCTGCGGCTCCGAGGGGTTCAACAGTGTGTGGGGGGGGGGGAACATCCTAGCACATGGATGAATGGGGCCTGCCAAAACATCTGCTTCAGCCACAACAAACACATGCAACACCCCATTCCCTAGTTGCCATTGATTGAGTGATGCTTTCATCTGAAAGTAAGATACACAAAGAGAAAAAGAGAGCGAGAGAGAGAGAGAGAGTGTGTGTGTGTGCGCGCGTGGGTGCGTGGGTGCAAGGGTGTTGCGCGAGTGCCTGTGTTGCGCGTGTTGCGCGTGTTGCGCGTGTGTCACGTGTTGCGCGTGTTGCGCTTGTTGCGCGTGTTGCGCGTTTATCCCGTGTGTTGCGAACGTTGCGTGTCGTGTGTGGTGTTTTGCTCCGCCGAATCGAAGAAGCCCCACAGAGTAAGTAATCGGCGGACCCTTTTAAGCACTCGTGCGCATGCCCTGGGTTGCCTGCTTGATTCACCTCCGCCTTCGCCCGGCAAAGCCAGCGGACGACCTCCAGGGGAATCCAAACTACACCCTGAACTTCAAAAGCCCTTCATACTCTAACCCTGAACCCGGGAACTACTTCTCCCTGCCTTTAATCCGAGACGTGCGGTGTGCTGTCCAGACTGTGCCCAACTTTCCCCTGATCTCGGTACGAGGCAAAGAGGCTCACCCCGACTCCGACCTCCGAGTGCCCATGTTGAGCTGCTGCCAGAATCGGATGCATGCCACTTCCCGATGCCTGCACAGTGGGAGTGGAGAACGTGTCCTAAATCAAGCAGTTTTCTGGGGCAGAACGGCCCTGTCCTCCAATCCCAAGCACCGAAACCAGGCGTAAATGTGGAGGATGGTAACCCTAAACCCTAAATGGCTAGGATTGCTCGGTTTGAACCAGAATGACCGGCCGGGATCTGGCGCAAGTTGAGCCACAGGGACTTTTTGGCCAGCTTATGGCTGAGACGGGTTGCAATACTACTATTTGCTTAAGAACCCACACAAGAAAATTGAGAAAAACAATCCCTGTATTACCCTTATAAGGAAGACGAACATGTTAACGTTGTTTATCTTTTTTTTTTTTTTTTGGGGGGGGGGGGGGTTCTGAAGCAATTCGTAGAATATGTTGCAAGAAGCTGCAACTCACACCCAAAGCCTCTTGCCTTGTTCAGGTCGGCTCGGGTAGTGAGCAGAAGCTGCGCAGTGTCCAGCTGGCCGTCTTGGCAGGCTAGGCACACGGCGCTGCCTGAGATTTCAGTTTTGGGCCTTGGGCCTAAAAACCCTAAACCCTAAACCCTAAACCCTAAACCCTAAACCCTAAACCCATTTAACCCACAAGTTCTACTAGTTTTTCAGGTTCTGAGCCTAAGGTTCAGAAGCGTCTTCAGGGAACTGTCACTCCCTTTGAGCTTGCCACCAGTAAAGGCTCATACTAGGCAGTCTTCCAGTCTTCTCTTGTAAGGGCTGAGGCTTATCAGCCATGCTTCCTTTGATAGTGCTGATAGGATTTGCCATGCCAGGCCAGGCATTCTGGCCAAAAAAGCTCGGGAAGAAAGAGCTCTTAATCTTGTGGGAACATTGGCGCCAACTAAAGCGACTACAGCCCCCCAACATCTTGCACTTGAGAGCTTCGCCTGACTACACCACTTCACCCTGATGTCTTCGGCCAGAGTTGCAGCCATCTGCATCCGCTTGCTCCGAATCTGCTCGGGCCTGGAGAAGAAACCGCATGACCTCGAGATGGGTCTTCAATGAAATTCTGCGGAGATGCCAGAGCTTGGCCCCTAAACCCTAAACCCTAAACCCTAAACCCTAAACCCTAAACCCTAAACCCTAAACCCTAAACCCTAAACCCTAAACCCTGATGAAAACCCATCACAATCCATCCGCCGCCTCCCAGAACCCTAAAAGCCAGGGACCTCCAGGTGACCTTTCCGGCGGGCTGCGAGCAACCTGGGAAATTTAGGGACACTGTTCGGGATGCGGCCCTAAACCCTAAACCCTAAACCCTAAACCCTAAACCCTAAACCCTAAACCCTAAACCCTAAACCGAGATTACGAGTGCATTTTTCAGAAGGCAGATCAGGGACCTAGACACGTCTATAGCAACATCATTGCTCTTTTCCGGGCCTGTATGGCTGCTTGCAGTGGAGGGCCCATACCTCTGAATCCCTCTGTTGAACAACGACAAAGAAAAGCTACCTTTACAACCCTGGGGCTTTGTGGCCCGATCCGAAATCCCTCAGCTCTATAAGCCTTGGGCCGAGCAGGGGTCGGAGTTCAGGGTCGAGCCTTACTGGAGACGTGATGCTTTGCGTCACAGCGTTTGGCCTGTCCATGGCTGAGAAAATGTCGGTTGGTGTCATGCTGTGAAAAAAACATGCTGGAATGCTGAGAAAATGTGCAGGCGAAGACAGTGAGGGACGTCAAAAATGCCTACTGCGGGCCATAAAGTTCTGGAAGGGAAGAGACACTAGCAAAGGCCCCAAGAATGGTTTGTATTGAGTGCAGATATTGGTTGATATCATCGCTTGCAGAACTATGACCCAGAATACCCAGAAGAACAAAGTCATTGCAGTGTGTTGCTAACGAAGGTAAAACGCTTCCACATTCACCTGGCACGCAAGAAGCAGCTTGCTAACACAGACCCGAACCAAGAATGCAAAGCAACGGTGTGGCGTGGTTGCTCGAGACTGTGTGGACGCTCGCGCCCGCCATGACCAAGCCTGGGCTGGCTACAGAGGATTCTTGCGGTTGGTTCATGGATCTTCTTCATGGTAATACTGCAAGCTCCTCAGTGTGACAGACATCTGAACTAACGTCTGCACCCTAGGAGACGGAATCATGGCCCTGTTGAGGAAGAAGGGCTTTGTAAGTAAGGGGTCAACGCTATGAAACTGTCGGCATGGGCGGCAGGCTCTTGAGCTGTGGTTTCATGAAATTTCTTGGGGGCACATACCGTATGCACTTACCGCGAGGAATAACATCCCAGAGGCAGCGGGCAGTGTCCACCGAGCCGTGCTCGCAAGCCACGATCAAAGGTGTGGCTCCGTTGTACGCGCCTTGCTTGCCGAAGCATGCCAGGGGACTGCAAGTCAACCGTCCATCTTCTTCACTTTGAAAGTGGGTTTAGGGTTTAGGGTTTAGGGTTTCGGGTTTAGGGTTTGGGGTTAATATCCCAACCCTGCAAGCTCCAAAGCTAGCAGCAGAGCTGACATCCCGAAGCTCAATCCTCGTTTCTTGCCCCTCGGAAGACTGCTTTAGAAGATAAACCCTAAACCCTAAACCCTAAACCCTAAACCCTAAACCGGAAAAGGCGCTTTGGTGTACGTTTGCACGGCAGTCGATGAGGAGGTTGCACATCTGCAGGAGGCGCTGCTGCGCTGCGACGATCCTCGACGTGAACTACCGTGGGGGCTGCCTACAACCCTAAACCCTAAACCTAAGGGGTTTGGGGTCTGGGGTTTAGGGTCCCTAAACCCTAAACCCAAAACCCAAAACCCTAAACCCGGAAAACCTGCTTGATAAAGCCTGCAAGAACACCCGGACAGGCATAACTGGCAGCTACAGGTCCAGCTGAGGCTGCTTCCCTGCAGAGGCTGAGCCTTGGAACTCTATCTAGAGCCCTGCTTCACTGCATTCCTGAGGACTGATAGCCCCCTAGCTTGGACCAAGGTGTGGTTTGAGGAGCCCTAAACCCTAAACCCGAAACCCTCAACCCTAAACCCTAAACCCCAAACCCTACTGTCGGTTTGAGAAGTTCCCAGGATCCATGGCCGTGAATCCCGGGAAGGCTGGAAGAACATTTGGGGGGTTCCGAAATCAGGGGGTACCTTATTGGGGTCCTTCTTGTAAGGGAGGCGTATTCTCGTAAAGCCCCATTTAGGGAATCCGTTGGACAAACTTGGGGTGGGGTTGGTAGGCGGAGGAAGAGAAGGGCAGCTGGTCATGTGCCACTTAATGATTCAGATTCCTGTCTTGAACCTTGTGATGTGTGCAGGAGCACGCTTGAAATGTGCAATTTCGCTGCTGAGCCATGAACCAACAAGCTTGGAGGACTCTGGGAAGTAGTATACAGGGACTCCAGAGGCTCCTGAATTAAGGAACATACCTTGAGGGTTCCTCATATAAACTAAGGGATATTCCTTAGTTAAGGGGTTTTGGAGTCTCTGAGTAGTCAGGTGCAGGATGCCAGCGCTGAACCAAGCCCAGGCAATCATCTGTGGACCCCAGTAGTGGGTACTGTTCAGAATCAGCCTTCCGAGAAGAACACCATGGATCGATGCAGAGTTGGATGCATAAGAGTGAGCGGACAGATCCATCACGGAGATAAGCTGTGCTCGTTGCTTCGCTGCAGCCGTTCGATCCATTCCGCATCGAGAATCGTAATAGGATGTGCTAAGTTCGTGTTCGCCATGCTCGCCGGCTGCCCCACGTATAGCTTGTGCTAGCAGGCCCAACGAAGACGAGGTAAGACATGCTTAATCCACCGAGGCTTAGGATTCTGATGTTCAGGGCGTCTAAGGGCGAGCCAGGTATCAGAGGGGTGGCGCCCGTCTTGTTGGCCAAGTCCACGTTGGCGCGCACGCTGATCCTCGGCTTTCTAGGTGCAACGTCAACTCGGTGATCCCTAGAACCGCCCGAAGTCGAAAAGCGAAGTCCTCCACAAGTTATAGGTTTACAAATTCTACAAAGTGAAACAACTTAGGTCTGCAAATTCTACAAAGAGAAACAAATTAGGTCTGCAAATTCTACAAAGTGAAACCTTTTGAATGTCTTGACGGCATATGACCTCTTGGCTACACTCAGAAGGGTAGCTAAAAATTAAAATTTTAGCTGCCTTATTAAGAAGCCCAATAAACCCAAAAAGGCTAAGGATCTAAAGTTACAGTAAAGTACCACAAAGACTTGGCATGCGGCAGAAGGCGTGCCATGGCCACATGGCCGTGCAGGGATGCCATCAACACGGGCGTTGAGCCTCGGATCTGCAGTGGGGTCTTGGTTTAGGGTTTTGGGGTTTGGGGTTTGGGGTTTTGGGGTTTAGGGTTTAGGGTTTAGGGTTTGGGGTTTGGGTTTTTGGGTCTTGCAGGTCTTCGGCGATAAGATATGGGTTCTCAAGCCACATAAAGCCACTCAGTCACTGAGTTCTACTCTGGAATTTTGATTGGGCACTCTCATCTAGGGATTTAGGGGTGCTCGGCCTGGTGTTTCCCAGGGGGCCCGTCAAGAATCGAACAAATTTGCTCCGCAGACTCCGTAAAGTAGTCTGCACCAATTGTTGCACATGCTTGCGCCGCACCTGCAGCCTCATGACGCCACGGGTATGGGCACGAAGTCGCATCATCTACAGACTACGACCAGCAAGCGAAGACTTGAGTCCCTCATTGCCCTGGAGACCTCTGAACACTCGATGGACCAAAGTCGGCGCGGCACCCGAAGGATCCATGAAGTTCACATCAGCCCTTGTGCCAATGAGCAGGTGCGCGATGTCCTGCACCAGGTGGCATTCCCAGAGCCAAGGGAGCTTCAGGAGTCAGGTGGAGCAAAACCCTAAGCCCTAAACCCTCAACCCTGAACCCTAAACCCTAAAGCCTGACGTGCTCCAATGCCTCACGGGCAAGCAGGCCTCGGGTTTGTGACGGGACTGCCCTGCACATCCCTACACCCAGAAGAATCCCAGTGTCCAGGTGGCTATGCATCGCTGCCACGCACCTTCGATTGCCAACGTGAGTAGGGCATTGGGCTTACGGCTCATGGCTTGCGGCTCATGCAGGGGGAGAGGCTGTTGCGGTTTAGGATGAAGGTGTCGCGTGCCACATGGGCCACATCCTGCCGCAGGTTTGTTTCTTTGGTGCCAATGCTCAGCGAACCAACCGAGCGCAGGTGCCGTGGTGCCCCGTAGACCAGTCCCCAAAACACCAAACACCCTACAAGCATTGCATGCAAAGCTATAGGACCTGTGGTTTCACGATTCTGCCTTCCTCTTACAGTTAATCATCATCATCATCATCATCATCATCATCATCATCATCATCATATATGTATATAGATAGATATATAGATTCAATCAGTTATATACGTTCTGATTTAACAAATTATATATATATATATATATATAACCAATATCACCATGTACGAACTTGCGAGCCAGGATGCAGGGAGGCCCCATTTTGGGCCACAGGCCTGCCAAGCACTTGGCTGGCCCCCACCTCACTTCGGCCGCTTGAGGTTTCGGCGTTTTGGGCTTCAGGGTTTAGGGTTTCGGGTTCAGGGTTTAGGGTTCAGGGTTTAGCCGTTCAGGCTCTAGGACCTTCGGAGCTGTGAGAAAGCGGGGGCTTTGCACTGCTTTCAGAACTGATGGGAACACTCCGAATCCGCCTATCCACATTGCGCAATCTGGGGATGCGCAGCTCTGCACTCACAGGCCATAAGCACAAACAACTCAGTTTGGGTTTTCGGCTGAACTTTCTCTGAGAGCGTGAAGGAAGGAATGAGGTGGAAGTAGTTTTGGCTCTGGGTATGCCGTAATCCCTGAGCAGGAATCCCGTCAATTTCGGCACACCTGATGCAGGTCACACAGAAGTCAGAAGCGACAATCAAGAACCCCACTATGTTGAACGAAGCCCTGCACCTTAAAATCCTGAACTCATCTAAGTCATAAGTTAGTCATAAGGGTTTGGTGGTTAGGGTCCTAAGCCCTAGAATTGTGACCATTCGGGTTCAAGGCTTCTGAGTGTTGGTTTGGGTTGCTCTTGACTTTGCGCCCCAGAAGCTAGCAGCCGGGCAATCTCCAAGTGCCCATTCTCGGCAGCCGCCAGCAAAGGGGTTCGATTGAAGTGCCTCGGGCTCTTTGGGCGGATGCGGATGCTTCCATTATTTCCTAGCCCTGCAGGCTGCCCCAGGCCTCCTGTCACGACATTCTGATACCGGTCAAAGCAGCAAGGAGCACTCACCCAGAAGCCAGCCCTTCTCAATCCAACCCTCCATTCAACCCGAAACATCGCTACACTCTAGCCAGGCCTTGAACAATTCAAACCCCACTCCACACCGCGAGCCCTAAACCTGAAAGCGATTACACTTACTCAGCCCAATCCGATCGCAAAGATACCCCGCTTTCTCGACATCTGCTCGGACCTCGAGCAAGAGGCGTACCTGGTGAGTGTGTCGCTTCAACGCATGCGACCAGGCGCTTCGTCAGAAACTGCGGCTGTTGATGAGAACTGCTCTCGAGACACTTTGGTGCCCAGCGACCATAAACCCTAAACCAGTTTAGCGTCATCTTTCTTAGTTGTTCTTTGATCATACGAGCCCTGGCGGGGAAGTGCGTCTGAAGGAGCTGGTGCTGTCACCAAACAAAAGCGTCTAGGTACGCGACCTTTTTCTGGCTCTGATTCTTCTCAACTCAAACACTTCAACCCTAAACCCTAAACCCTAAACCCTAAACCCTAAACCCTAAACCCTAAACCCCAAACCCTAGTCAACCAGGGCATGCCGGGCACCATCTCGAGGCTGAGACCAACGTCCGCCGCCATGGAGAGCGGCGTATGCCCCCAGCCATCACCCAGGTCCTGGCTTGGTCTGGTCTGTTCTGCTTAGGGCTTAGGGCTTAGGGCTTAGGGCTTAGGGCTTAGGGCTTAGGGCTTAGGGCTTAGGGCTTAGGGCTTAGGGCTTAGGGCTTAGGGCTTAGGGCGTAGGGCGTAGGGCGTAGGGCTTAGGGCTTAGGGCTTAGGGCTTAGGGCTTAGGGCTTAGGGCTTAGGGCTTAGGTTTTTGCTTCCTGTTCTGGGCCCGCTGCACGTGCTGGTTGCGCAGCTTGCACAGACAATCATAGATCTGTGCGTACTTCCCCAAAAAATTGAAACATCTTTGGAAACATCCAGGGCTCCCGGAACTCGTAGGCCCGAAAGACTGGGGTTGAATCTTTAGGAAGTACATGTTTGCCCCCTGGACCTCACCAGCGCTGCACCGTCCCAATAAACAATCCTTTCTTGGGAAGACTAAGCAAACATGCTGTATTGCCCCGAAAGCACCAACAGAAACTTTCTTCCGGAACCTCCAGGCCAGTTCTTGCCACGAGGTGTCTTCGGATTGGTTTTGGTTTTGTTGGAACAGCACAGCCCTTTTGCATGTTTGCCACATCAGAGGCACTGGTGCAGAGTATCAAATTTCTGTACTGTCCCAAAGATCAGACCGAAAATATGCAAAAGACAATCTTTCGCAACCTCCAGCACCTCGGAAAAGATTGGGACTGCTTGCTGTCCCAATCTTCTTGCCTTCCGACCGGGACAGCACAGCACTTGCCAAGTCCAGGGTAGCAAAACATGCTGTGCTGTCACCAAAATGCCAGCCTCCAGCACCCCAGCTGCTAGGCGGAAGGGATTGCGACCTTTGCCTTCCGACCCCCAACACATTGGGACGGTAGAGCACTCGAAGTCCAGGGCGCAAAATCTTTTGCAACCTCCGGCAAGACTGTCCCGCGTCAGGAGGCCAAAAAGATTGGGACTGCACAGCCCGAAGCACTGTATGTGCCCAATCTTCTTGGATTTGGAGGCCACAAAACGCTGAGTTGTCCTATCTATTCGGCGTACCATCTTCCCAGAAGTTCAATTCGCTTAATAGATGAGATTATGTGAAGGTTGCAAGCCATCTGTGATTTACATTCAACGAAGAGTATAACGAACCCCTATTTCCACAAAAGTATGCTACCCTCCCCCCCCCCCACATACAAAATGCAAGACCCTTAGTTGAAGAATCGTTTGGGTGGCTGTCGTCGATACTCTTCCAATATTCCCGGCTGCTCGACAAGTTTAACTTTAACACTACCATTGGCCTCCTTCTGATACTCAAATGAGTTGAGTTTTTTCCACGGGTCTTGGCTTACGAACCAAGATCTCTGGCTTGGGGGTGGCGAAAGCTGCACCCAGTGACTTTGTGGGCGAGGGCTCATTCATGAGGCTGTATGTCAAGGAACGTAGGGTGTTCGTGGCGGCGTGCACCTTTCGAGGACCCACCGGAAACATCAGCCAATCCCAACCGACACCACCTAAACCCCTAATCCCCACCCTCGACCCACACAGCCCCAAAACCCTTCGGCCAGGAGGCCTTGTCGGCACCAGCATCAAGCAGTAGCCTCGCCACTTTCGCGTGGCCGTTGCTGGCTGCATGGAAGAGGGCACTTCCTGGGTGCAGGTCTTTGGGCGGTGTGGTTCTTGGCGATTCAAAAATCTAGAGTTCACAGGGGCTTGGGGGTCATACAAGCTTACCCGAAGGTCCTATGACAGGTCTCGCTTCGCTTGATTTGATTTCCATGACCACCATGAAACAGGTCCAATGCAGACTCTCAAGCTTGGGATAGACAAATTGCTCACTCGAAATTTCAGGCCGAACCGATTCTAGGTTTCGTGGCTTGCACGTGCGAATGCGAGTTCGGGCTCGGGAAGGATTCCTAGATTCTGACTCCAGTCGGCACGCTAAATTTTGCAGCCCAGGGACCTTAGCAGCTTTCAGGTTCACGGTTTCCAGAGTTTGAACTCTGAGCTTCAAGCATGTCTGGGGCTGTCAACACAAGGGGCCACGGGCTCCAGACCTGGGGCCTCCACACGGAACTGCACAGCCTGTCTTACTCTCAAGCTTCACAAAAGTTGCAAAATCCGAGCCCCAAGCCCTAAAACCATAAAAGCTGTACGGCCGAACGCGCTACAAAACGGCTGAAGTCCCAAAACCCTAAACCCTAAACCCTAAGCCCTAAACCCTAAAAGCCCAGGGCTCGGCCAATGCTGTCTCCTTTATTTGCGTCAGCGCTGGCCTGGCGCGGTGCACCGCGAGAGACGAAACGCGTCTGGGTTTCAGGATTTGGCAGCTGAGACTATACTCCCTAAGAATAATATTTTTGATATCCTCTTGGGTTTTATATAAACAAAATAATTCCCAAGGGGGATATGGAAGAATGTGCTCCTCAGGCCCTGTAGATTTTTTCGAAGGCCTCGGCCCAATCTGTTTAAGGGGACATCTGCGAGCCAGTCCTACAAGTCTTTGGGGCTTAAACTCTGGAAGCCAACGAATCCGAAACACTTGAGCCATAAAGCTCTAAGCACAGGGTCATAACTAAACCCGAAACCTTCAGAGGCTCGCCTCGAGCAGGAGGCTTGCACAGCTCACGCTGCCACACTCTGCTGCCGCATGCAGCGCATCTTCCTGGAAAGCGTACTGGGGCTACAGTAAGGCTTCGAAGGCTTCAAAGGCTTCAGGACATCTGCGCAGCGGGTAAAGGTGGTCATCCATGATTGGGTCGGCCGAATGACAGCCTTGATTGGGTCAGCCGGATGAGCGGGAGTGCAAGCTTGCCGGGTGCCGGAAATTGTGCCACGTGAACATCCACAGCAAGAGGGTCACCGCTTCGTCATGAAGCCATCATTGTGCAAGGCTGTACAATTCGCAGAGTTGCTGAGTTGCTGTATGTGGCCTGAGGCATAGCATGTTTCTGGATGGCGACTGAAGCTCTGAAGTTGAGCTACTCCCGCTGTTGGGATCATTCAATGGGCCTTGTGTTTTCCGGGCTTGGGCAAAAACCTCAAGCTGAACCCCCTTGGAGCCTAGTCGCAATGAACAGCAAGAAGGGCAATCTCGCCGCAGACTCAACGGTATAGGGTTTAGGTTTTAGGTTTTAGGGTTTAGGGTTTAGGGTTTAGGGTTTAGGGTTTAGGGTTTAGGGTTTAGGGTTTAGGGTTTAGGGTTTAGGGACTTCCGAAGCCACACTGAAGAGAGGCAGAGGCCATCCCATCCTCAGGTTCTTGAGGACCTCGGCTGCTTGTTCCCTAAACCCTAAACCCTAAACCCTAAACCCTAAACCCTAAACCCTAAACCCTAAACCCTAAACCCTAAACCCTAAACCCCTGTTTTTGGGCTTGGGGGGCCGGGATGTCGCCCTCATGAACCCGCCATGCCCAAAAAGCACGTCCTAAGCCCCAAAACCCCCCGGTTCAGAGGCTCAGGTGTCGTCGGGGGATTGCGATCGGCGGGAGGTCTGATCACAAGGTAAAGACATGGGATCATCTCAGCCTTAAGCCCCCAAACCCTCAACCCTAAACCCTACACCCGAAATCCCTCAACTTTAGCTCTCTCCAGGTGGCCTTGAAGCAGCTCCTCCACCGCCTCCGCCTGTCCCTTCGAGGCGGCCGTGCGCAGTTCCCCGCGCTGCGCCCTGTGTCGGGGCTGGGCGTTTCTTGGTGCGGGTTGCGGGTTTAGGGTTTAGGATTTAGGGTTTAGGGTTTAGGGTCTGAGGTGGGCACCACAGAATACCAAAGAACATCACCGGGAATTTCCAATTTAAGGCCTCTGGAGGCTTAATTACAGCTTCTGGATTCTGAGCTCTGGGTGTTTTGGGGATTCGGGTTCGAACTGCAAACCACCATGAACCCTAAGGACACTTCCGCGGCTTAGGACTCACAGGACAAGACAAAACAAGGAAAGCTTGTGTTGTGCGCGCTGTTGTCGCTGTCACCCTTGAAGCGAAAAGTTGCTGGCAAGTCGTGGCGGCTTCCGAAAACAGAGGTACCCTTTTTGCGGATCCTTCTAAGGATGATATAGTATTTGGGGTGTATAAGGGGCACCCCTATTCTTGGAAATCCCCATGCTTTTTTTCTACTTAAAGATCATCATCACAGCCAAGCGTCAGGCTGGTGTGGAAGGGGAGCACCACAAGCTGCAAATCCAAGTTGGAGGCCTAGTCACATATACCGCTCAAGCTTAGGTGCATTGTACAGCTTCAAGGACCCCTTTCACACACAAAAGCCTTGTGAAATTTTTGGGGGTCAAGAACAAGTGTGCCTGGGTTCAGAGGCCTCTACGGGCTTGGAGGTTTAAGGCATTGGTTTCAGCGTGCATCAAGTATTGCTAGGCCATGGATTCGGGGCGCAAGCTACATTGAGGAGAACCGCACCCAAGTCTTCACATGCCGAAGTTCTAGACATGTCTGCAGTCCTAGGGTGCCCTAGGCTTCTGGAAAGCTTGCTCCCTGCTCTCCACTCACATCCCAGCGGCAACGGGCACACTCGGTAGGTCTTCGTCCTCCTGTAAGAGGCGCCTGGGCTACAACTTCCGGGGGGTGCTAGAGCTGCAAAGAAAGCAACAGACACAAACACCGGCACACCACACCCGATATCAACCCCGTACCGATCACCCCAATGTCACCCCTGGGCTACAATTTCTTGATTTGAGCCTCCGAGTCTGCGACGTCTGCTTCCCACGGGTCTTTGAGGCTAGAGCGCAGGGGCTGCTTGCGGGTGTCGCCTCTTCGTGAAAGGATGCTTTGACTTTAAAATTTCCCTGCAGGTTCTGAAGCAGCTTCCCTCCTTTTCCACCTTGATCTACACCTGATATGTAAGACTTCCTCCTTGCGATTTGGGAGTGGTTTAGGGTTTGCTGCGCAGGGCTTAATTAGCGACCCTACTGAAGCTCGAGATCTCTATTTCGCCAGTGGTGCCTTTCGTGGAGCAGCCGCTGGCGAAACCTTCCAACTGTCCACACATGTCTCGCTCAAAGCCGTTTTGGGCTGGACAATGAACGTTAATGCAACATTCAACCGACATCCTAAGACCCCGCAGCCTGCCAATAGGCTGGCACGACTTGTGGTCTGGGGTGCCTGGATGGATTTGGGTCCTTACCAGTTCCCTTTTCGACCAAACTGCCAATGCAGATATGGGCAACAAGCCTGAGTTGCTTCTCAGGTCGGGTTGACAAGGGCCTGGGCTTCAAGTCGGGTCGAAACGGGACGCCGCGTCCGAAAGTCGGTTTCGAGTTGAATCAGAAAGGGCATTGTAGGGTCTAGGGTTTAGGGTTTAGGGTTTAGGGTTTAGGGTTTAGGGTTTAGGGTTTAGGGTTTAGGGTTTAGGGTTTAGGGTTTAGGGTTTAGGGTTTAGGGTTTAGGGTTTCTGAAGTCTGACGTTGGTCGAGAAGGGGCCCCCACGGCCAGAATGGGTTTCAATTCGGGGCAAAGGAGACACTGCCGGCCGAGTCTTTCCAGAGGCCCTGGAGATTTGGATCTCAACACGGCTTCGCCCGGCTTCGCTCATGTGCGGTGAAGAGAATTGGCTCAACAAGCCCGGCCACATCCCGGTTGCAAGTTGCTTGGGCAAAGATGGGAATCTGCTTCGCAATTTGCGTTTCGTCTCCCTGCGAAGATACGAGCCCCAAATCATCGCGCATCCAAGTACTACTTTCTATTGCGGCGGCATGCCCTTCGACGGTAGACACTTCAGATGTTAAGGTTGGAGGAGGTACCCTTGGGACCTTGAAGAACTCCACATCCCCACCTCAGGAATCGCAAGCTCTGCAATCTGCACACTCGAAGGTTTAGAGTTTAGGGCTCCTGCATTCCGTTTGGCAGGTGAAACTTGACACATTCTCCTGCGAGGTCGGGGCTTGAGTCGGAGGCTCTTAAGCTTATCTGCAGATGGAATTTGGGGAACGCCCGCCTGGGAACTTCCCCCAGCGAATGAAGGTGCCGTTTTAGCGCCTTCCTTGATTCCACAGCTGAGGTCGAAAGCAACGACGATCAGGGAATCAGGGAATGAGGTCAAAAGAGATCTGGACTTTGGAGGAATTGGGATTTCAGGGTTTAGCCCTAATACTGAAAGCCATCAATGAATCATGTGGTCGGAACCTGAATCCCCGCCCAATACTGCTTTGAAAGCTTGAGGTCTATCACGTTCCGAGACAACCTTAAAACGGGAGGTGGGGAGGAGTTCGTTGATATCGTGCAAAGCATCCGCACGGAGTGTCGCAGCCCCTACATATCACTTCGGAACCCTCATGCGCCTGAGCGAATTTCCGTGCGGTTGCTTTGCGCAACGCAGTCATGTAAGGGCCATCCTTACCTGCATAAATGGCTTTGGCTTCTACCTGCCAGCAAGTTTCAGGGACCGCCCACTCTGATCTGTGAACTCTTTGAACTCATCCGCATCCATGACCAACACGGTTTCGCCCGACACCTTCGTGACCTGGAAGGCAAGCGTAGCAAGTGCACGAGGCACAAACTAGCAGCCCATGTAGCAGAAACGAAGGAGATGGCCGAAGCTCAGCGATTGTAGGACCACCTGTGGTTGACATAAGTTGACATGTCCAGGATTTCTACCAGAGCTCACTGGCCCAGCAAGGGCATTGCCTTGCAGAGTCTGCCTGTTGGGCTCTCCTTACAACCTTACCACCAACTGCCAAGCCAGAAGGGCCAATGGTGCGGGAAGAGAACCCCGAGGCTTCAACATGCGAGGCTTCTGGCAAAGAAGGACCAAGACCAAGAATGGTCTTGGGGCCCACAAAACATCCACAAACATCCATGAACCCTCCATGAAGCTGGCAGGTCTAGATTCTTATTTCCGGGGAATTGCGGGGGGTGAGAGATTCATCGTTGAGATTCTTGGCAAGGCTTGATGTCTAGTGAGCTTCGGGTTCTTTTTATGTGTGTTTGCACGAAAACATCTCTTCTTCGAAGCAATCCACCTCAGCTACCCTTCCAGAATTCAACCACAGCCCACGTCTAGACATGACTGCCAAGGCAAGCGACTGTGAGGGTCCCAGCCGCTCCAGAACCTGACTTGCATGGAGCCCGAATTGAGGCGCGGGCTCCAAGCGCACAACTCAACTTTGTAGAGAGTTTGGAATGGTAGATATCTTAGCTAAACTCAAATGGGACATGTTTCGGCATTGAACAACCTGGGGATTCTACATGTTAAGGCACTACTAAGGTGTGGTGCCTGCAAACCAAAGAAACCAAAACAACAAAACCATCTACTTTGATCACCACCCGGGTTTTTTGTTTTTGGGCTGGAGGAGTGGACGGCCTCTTAAACCCTTCTTCTACCCAGAGACCCCAAGACCCCCTGAATTAAGGAATATAGCCTAAATTATAGAGGGATCCTGATTATGATTTACGAACATTCCTTAACTAAGCGGTATTGGGCTCTTTGGGTACTTGGAGCTGCGGGAAACCATGGCAGCCCCGAGGCGTTGGTCTCACATTTGCTGTTTGCTTTCGGTTCAACAAAAGCACAAAAGCAGCATCAGACAGGTGTTCCCCCTCAACATTGGAAGTGTAGTGAGGAGAAAGGCTGATCTATTTGTGTAGTGGCAGGCATCAGGGTCCCTTCTGTGTCAATGGGGCATCCAACTACAAATACCTGACCCGGAACGGCAAGCAATCTAAAGACCGGAAACCCTAAACCCTAAACCCTAAACCCAAAACTGTAAACCCTAAACCCTAAAAGAATCTTGAGCCGCGAATCCTATCCTGGCTGCATCTCAGGGGGCCCTTTGCGCGCGGCTCTGCATCCGAGCGCAGCCCCGCCATCGGCTGCGAAGCCATGGCGTAGTAAGATTATTAGTTAATTTATGTCGATATACATCTATCTATGTATGTATGTATCTATCTTTCTATCTATATAGGTACAGGACAAGAAGATCTTAGCCTTCAAGGAATTGAAGTGCATACTTTCCAGGCCCAAGCCACTCAAGGCACTAGGAAACCTGCCCTGCAAGGCTGCAGCATGAATGGCCGGCAGTGTGAGCGGTCCACGTTCTGGAGTCCTCGGGTTTAGGGTTTAGGGGTTTAGGGTTTAGGGTTTGGGGTGTGTGCGCAGGCCCAGGGGAACATAGGATAAAAGTGGCACAACCTGTGCTCTCATAGGGATACCCCCTGATGTGCACTCTGGGGAACCAGCCCTGGCTTCACTTCTGTGCCAAGCGCCCCGAGAATGCGGCGAAGGAAGGTGGACCTGCGCGTGTCTTTACTTCCTTCAGCTCGAAAATAAACCCCTCTGAGCCCCTAGGTGTACACTACCCGCGATTGGCCCTGACACGCAAGGCAGATGCATACCCAAAGAGCCCAAGACCCCTTGATCAAGGAATTTTCCTTGAATCATTCTGAGGATTCCTTTATAATTTAAGCCATGCTCCGTAATTAAGGGGGGATTGGGCCCTAAACCCTATAAACCCTAAACCCTAAACCCTAAACCAAAGAAGCCAAGCTGCTTGCCACAGCCAGAGTCGGCTGCCACGCCGATGACGACGGGCTTGTCCTACGGAAAAAACAGGCTTTACAGGCTCTTCGGGCATAAGTCCTGAGCTTTAACCCTTTAAGCCATAGCCTTAAACCCATCATCTTGAGAAAGTTCAACAAATTTTAAGAATCTCTAACCCGCAAACTCTGAATCTTCTCCCTAGGGCTTGATGTCCCTTCCCGCGCTCAAGTCCCTTGCAACAACTTTTGGTGCGACCCTGCTTCACATGCGAGATCCACATGTAAGATATTGAGGGTGCCATAATGTCCTCACAGAGACCCCCCCAAAAAGTCCTCCATCGAAACGGAGGCATCTACGATGGGGTCCATCTCATCCTTCCTCACGGAGGTGGCTTCGTGTGTAGGGTGTTGCTTCTCATGCATTGGCACGGTATATGGATTAGCATGGATATTTGAGTGGGGCCGAGCACGCACTGGATGTTTTTGCATCATGGGGGTTTTCTGAGGCGCGTTGTGGCTATTGAGGTTGCTGCGCGGCACACGCGGCGGGGGCGTGTAGCCTTCGCCTTGGCGCGACGCTCGTTTTGGGCCACCTCACGCTCTTGCCTAGGTGCGGGCATGGCCGCGGGATTCGGGGGTAGCTGTTACGAAAGCAAAACTCAGTTACAAATCATACTTCCGTCTTCCGTCTAGGTCTCGTGCATTTAGAACCCTGACTCACTCCATGTCGCAAAAACGTGGGCACTTTGCTTGGAAGGGTTCACTTCGCGCGTCCGTTGCTTCGACAACCGTTCCAAGGGGAAATTTCATCTTGCAGCTTTCTACTCAGTCCTGTGCACCTCATCGTGCTTGTAAAGTGCACGGCTGTACTCGTTTTGGGGCTTGGCTCTGCTCTTGGAGTGGTCTTGGCAAGCTGCTGAGCTTTTGGCAAGCAAACTGTTCAGAAATGGAAGGCTTTGGACGTCGGAGAAGTGCCTCCCCAAGGAGCAGCCTGTTGCTATGCTTCCTCAGATTCGATAAGGTCCTACAGCCCATCCGCATCCTTGAAAAACCACTCACCAGACCCTAGACCAGTCAGCACATCGGAACTTTGGAAAGATGTCTTTGCTGCGTCGGCGCGATCCCAAACGGAACACAAAACAAATCCTGGGCTCGAACTCTTGAGAACGTTGTCCTCACTTCCATCTTAGAACTGCAGGGGGTTGTAGGTGAAAGAACGAATGCTCTGCGGAGGTCCAGGCATGGGTTGGGTACAGCTTGATGCCATCCACCTGGCTTCGGGAGGGGCGTTGGGTAGAAAAACCCCTGGGGTGGGGCTTTGTGTTGGCTGTGCAGCACATTCCACATCTCACAACGAGTACCACACTGACTTAGGTCCTGGGAACAAAACTGGGAAGATCTCAGAGCTTAGGTGCATGAGCCCATGGTCTTGCACGTTCGTATGCATCCCCCCACATTCCCAACCCATAAGGAAAACTCACACCCCAATCATGCGAAATGGCCCCGCACCTCTCGCAGCTTCTCCTCTGCCTGAGAAGCAAAGGCTGACCAACCACCGAAACCGTGCTAAACCGTCCTAAACCTGCCATCAACCGTAAGACTCTGGGAGAACGAAACTGGTACAACCTCGAAGCCCAGAAGCTCGCGACCATTATGCCCCTGAAGCATAGGATCTTGTTCAGTGAAAAAGATTCAGCCAACTCAAGTCCCAGCCCTGCAGCCTCTCTGCAAGGGCTTTTTGGTTCCAGGATCCGGGGGTTCGGAGCGCGGGACATCGGACTTGCAGCTTGATCGCGGATCTGTTTCGGAGAACCACGTGTGTGGTTCCAGCCCTGTCAATGTCAACCCAGCTGGCGGCACCAGGCTTTAAACCCTCAACATGCTCGATAAACCCTAAACCCTAAACGCTAAACCCTATAAACCATAAAGGAACCTCCGGGGATGGCCAGACCAGGCCGGTAGGGACGCTCTCGCCGCCTCGTTCTGTAGCAACAAAGCTTCCAAGGTGACTCTCGTTGCGGTTTAGCAAAGCACATGCTCCGACTCAGCGGCTGAAGCATAGCATGTTTGCAGTTTTTGGGAGGCTGGGGGCTCTACTGCACCTTGCACAAGCTCTGCAGTTAAACCAAGAACCAACAGAAATCTCAAACAGCTTCAAGGCCAGCTATAGCTCAGCTGACCCCACACTGGCATCTTGAAAATAAAGCCGCCCCGCCTGCTCGCAGGGCGACCCTGTGCTCCTGCAGTGTCTGAAGCTTGACATGGCAGCTCAGGCTTCCACTCAGGGTTGAACTTGAGACTTTTGAAGCTTCGAGTCGCTGGGGTGTTGGGGTGGTGTTGCCTCTGGGCTAAGAGCGGCTGTGGGGTTCTTGTGATTTCTGATGTCTTGCTGAAGTGTCGGGGTGGTGCTCGCCCCGCGCCTGTGGGAATGACAGCTTAGTGCATTTTTAGACTTCACGGGAACTCAGCGAGTAGATCATGCCTGTCTGGATGACATTGATTGATACATTGACTTGGGTTTGTCTTGGGTTTGGCGATGTCCGTCGTATGTCGAGGCCTAGACAGCCTGAAGCGGCAGCCGCGCTAGCTGCCAAGGCTGGTCTGAGAAAATGCCCCGAACTCGAGTGCGGTTTTGGGTGCCTAGGAAACACGCTAGCCCACCAATTCCTACGCTGAAAAACCTCCTCGTAGACTCTGTGCAGCCTCTCCAACATCCGATATCTGGAAGGAATGACTTTCATGCGCACGTAGTGTACTTCTTGAAATGGATGCTTGAACTAGTTCTATTTGCTTGGCGAGTAGACTCAGTTTCGCTTGGTAGAAGCAGGTTGCAGGGCTTCATGCCCTAAATGCACTCAAACCCCAAGCCCCATAGCATACCCTTCGCCCTCCACTGATGACTTCCTGGCACCCCCACAACCCAGCAAGCTTTGCAGACCTTCCCAAGCTCCTGCTCCGGAGCGCGCGGGGCCACAAAGCAAAGGTGGCAAGCAAACAGAGCCGAGGCGACCTCAACTCCCAAGAAGCCATTTCAACAACTCGCCCAAAGTCGCGGAAGCACAGAACCAGCATATAATAAGTATAATGATTCACGAACCGAAGCATGGAGGGGTGGAATGGGGTGGGTGGGAGGGAAGCGACCACGACCACGACCACGACCACGACCACAACCACGACCACGACCACGGTCAACAACCACCACCACCACCACCACCACCACCACCACCACCACGACTACCACCACTAACCACTACTAAAGTGTACAGGACAAGTCACAGCGGCCAGTGGCAGCAGCACGGAGTGCGATCGGCGAGACATGACCGTCCTTGGCTGCTTGCGGGCGGGTTGGCGGTGCGGACCAGATGATGGTCCACGACCCTAAGCTGTAAACCCCACAACACTACAGGGCGAACTGATCCTCATATTTCATCGAATGTTCTGGCGAGCTCTGGTTGAGGCTAAAAGAACTTACAATCGCCAACACATCGTGACCGACCCCGAACGACGCAACTACCCCGAACGACGCTGGCAGGTCTCGACCCATCGGGATCCAGTCAAGCACAAGAGGTACTTGCCCCTTTGACTGGAGATGACAGAGGTTCCGAAAGGGTCAGGAATTAGTGCAGTTGTTTGGACCTTTTGACTCCTAAGTGGTTTCGAAGCGGGCAGGCCTTGTCGTGGATTGTGGTTGGGCTTAAGGATACCATTCTTGACGTGGCTTGAGCTGGGTTTGAATTGTTGTGGTGAAGAGGATAGAGAAGGTTGAAGCAGATGACTGAAAAAGAAATCTCTGCTTCGCAGTATCCCGTAGTTGCTGTAGGGGTTCGGTCACCTACTTGCAGTGTGCATTGGGGACGCGCGGGGTTTCCCAAAGCTCTGTAGGCTCCCAACTCTGTGCCCTCCACTCATCAGGTCATATAGCTCTGTGTCAGAAACAGAAGCGTTTGTAGGACTTTTATTTGAAATTCAAACTCCCTGGTTTGGGCTTTAGCTTAGAACTCTACGGTAGAAAAGACCCGGGTGCTCAATGAAGCTGAGCGGCATATCGTGTGAGGCCCCGCGGGAATGGTGAACAAAAACGGCTCCCACCGGTGGCCAGATGTCTACGAGTCAAGGGCTGAAAGTTGGGATGTTCCGCCTTATACTAACAGTCCTTCATAGCGATTATAGTACCCCCCCCCCCTACTCGAATCCCTATTGAGGACTGTCAGTATAAAGGGGAACATCCCAAGCTGAAAACGTTAAGCTGAGGGCTTACGTCTGCTTAAGTTAGCTTCACGCTGACCTCGAATCAGGTAGCACCGAGCGAGCTCGGATCTCCGGATTCTGCTGTTCTCCTTGGAGGT